CAACGGTTTAGCCTCCAGAGGGCAAAAAACTCCAAAAATAGCTGTTTTTACGAAATGTGTTTTTCGACTATAACTATTGGCATAGAAACACCACAACATTTCTATTGCCAGAATCGTGTTCCTCTCGCCGAGACGCGTCAAATGAACTATAATTTGACCTTGAAAGGTGAACTTGAAAATTTGACCTCAGGTCAAGGTCATGACCTGACCGGAAAGGTCATGTTGCATATCACTCGATGCGTCTACTCTCAACAAGACAAACACAATGAGGCCATCCCCAGCGTCCTATCTCAGTCTTTCCAATCGAGAGCTATTGGCAAAAATCTGTTTGTAGCCTAAAATGACCTCGGATGACCTTTCTAGAGGCTCGCAGCAAAAAAGACACCTTGGTCGTCACGGGTGGTCTAAATCCTTGTGATTCTGAAATATTTGAACTGTTCATATGCGTACACACGGATCTAGAGGCATTTTCATTTTTCTCCATTGCCTTATAATGGTAAGGTCACGCCTACTGGTTGACCTGACCTGACCTGACCCGACCTGGCCTTAACCCGCGACCGCCTGGGGGGTCGGATCCGACCCCCTCCGTTTTTCTTGAATAACTCATGAACCGCTTACGCTATCAACTTGAAATTTGGCATACCTAATTCTCCCCCATCAATTTGACGTCTCCTGTGTAATATTTAAGAAAAAAAATTCTAAAAACGTTTTGAGATATATCGATTTTAGTGATTTAACTACATGTCGTTTTCAGTCAAAAAGTGGTGAATGTTTTGAAAAATCGCCAAAAATCAAGGTTTAGAGCAAATTGCAAATTAAGGATAGGGGAAGCCGGGGGAAGCCCGGCATAGTAAGCTCTTTTTCATTTTTATTACATACCATACGTGCTGTATAAAATGTTGATATCCTGCTAGCTAGCTAAGTTCATTGGCCGTGTTTTCCCAAAAATTCGGTTTCGTGGAATAAGTATAAGGTTGAGAAAATCGAGTTTTAAAAAAGTGATGATTTTTCTGGGGTAAGCCCGGCATAGGGGTAACGCCGGCCACCTCCCCAGCGCTTTACAACGAGTTGATGAAACCATTATGTGTTTTCCAAATATTAACCCTCGCCGGACCTATTGGTTTTCTACATACGCGCCGGCCGAGGGGGGGGGGGGGCGGGTACGACCCCCCCCCCTCGCCGTTTCGCCCCTGGTGGAGCTAGCGCGTCGCGGAAAAAACGAGCGTGTGCGCCGTTACGAGACGCAGAGATTGGTACCCGATTTTAAGGTCCTAGGTCAACCGGTGACCTCTGAGGTCAGGTCAAGTGCCCCAAGGTACGGTTCAGTTTTTGGTGAATAACTTCGCAAAAAACGGCCGCAGAGCGCCGATTTTGGCAGCATCGTGTTCGTCTCGCTCAGGCGCGTCGAATGATATACTTTTTGTCTGGGTCAGGTCAACTTGGGGTGTTGACCTCAGGTCAAGGTCAGGTCAGCACCCCCAGGTCACGAAGTTGGTCGAAAGAGGTCATGTCGCATATCATTCGATTCGGCAGGTCTTCCTGAGTCCATTGGTGGCTTTCCCGACTCGCTAGCTCAATTTGATCAAGAGTTATTGACGAAAAACTAATATGACCTTGATGACGTCATAAATGACGTCACGCAAGGTCAACATTGCAAAAGTGACGCATCTAACCTTGCAAGGAGTGCATAAAATCACGATTCTGTGTGCTTGAGATAGTTGGAGATCGTTCCCGGCGCCAGAATAGCAGTTTTCATTTTTCCCCATTGACTTATAATGGTGAGGTCACGAAAATGACCTGACCTCATATGACCTTTAGGAAAAATCCGAGATATACAAGTTGTGGGACTCATAATGGATACTAGATCCTGCAAGTTTCATTTCCCTGTGACATCTCCTCTGGCAGTGAGGGCGTTGCGAAGTTGCGACATCTGAAGACCGTGCAACTGCAGAGGTTCACTTATGACGTCATAGGTCAGTGACCTGACCTGACCCGAAAATGCGGTTGGTGTCAAAAGATGCGGCTTGGATCAAAGGTCAGGTATGCCAAGTTTCAGCTCTCTATCGCCAGCGTGTTCGGAGCTATCGCGAAAAAACCCTATGGGGGGGCGGCACCCGCCCCCCCCCCCTCGGCCGGCGAGGGTTAACGGAAAGTGAAATATTAAGGTACTGATTAGCTCTGGACATCTTAGAGTTTATGTCACTACTGGTATTTTAGCTAGCGTCTACTACATATACAGTACAGGTCGATGAAAATCGTGATGCAAAATTGACAAAAAATGTGTATTTCAAAATTCCTTAGAATTTATTTTTCTTTTTACCTTAATGCATCATATTGCATATCATTCGACTCGGCTGATGAAGAAGAACACAACGACACCATTTTTGAAGCTTTAGCTTCATTGTCTGTCGCGTTATCTGCAAAAACGTAGTTTGACCCTAGTTGACCTTAAGTGACATGACTGGCCTTGTCTATGATAACATGTTTATTCTCGAAATTTATCTTTGATCTAGGTGTAAAGCAAACCTGCTCAGTACCTATTATCTCATGGAAAACAGTGGTTTAGTGGCATTGCTCTCGGTTGGGGGTAAGCTTGGCCACTCGCCCGGGGTTACCCCAATGTGATGATTTTTATTTTAGAACAGCGATATTCGAAAAAATGTCATACTTAAGCCAGCCTGCCTCGTCACCCCTCACTACAAACACTTAAACGGTCCTTACATAACATTCGTATAAATATTAGTACTGTATGGTATAACATTAACAGTGCAACATATCTCACTTTTTAGCTAAAAACCCTTAAAATATCATTTTTGCGCTATAACTTTAACAATATGCAATTTTTGTCAGCCTTAACTTTTTTGCTGGCGTTACCTTAGCTGCCACGCTGAAAGGACAAACAGTTGAGCATTTTATTGTGAATAATTTAGCCGGAAACGGGGTGGCCGGGCTTCCCCCGCGCCCGGGCTTCCCCCGGCTTCCCCTACCTACCTATGAATAGACGCAGCTCAACGAGTTCTTTAAAAATGGCTATCTCGGAATTTCCATAAAATTCGTTTTTTACCCCTAAAAATTCAAAAAAACAATTTCTTGGAAAACAGCTAATAAAATCCAAAATTTTGAGAATTTCAAAAAAACGGAATATATGTTATAGAGCTCTATTAGAACATTAGATGTCCCAAATTTCAACGTTCTATCTTGATTTTTGACCCCCAAATTGTAAAAAATAGCTCCAACATGCATGGGGCATGGTGACGTCAGTAAGGTCATGTGACGTCATCAAAGGTCACCAAAGGTTGTTTGCCAATAACTCCTTACGGGAACAAGATACAGCCGCGCGGATGGTCTCATTGTGTTTAGCTCGTCAAGGCGCATCGAATGATATACCTACATGATGACCTCGAGGTCACGTGACCTGAGGTCAACCTTTGAATTTGACCTTTCGAGGTCAACATACCTATTGTTCGATGCGGATTGACGAGAGGATCACGATGGTGTCCTTAGTTTGTTCCTAGCTTGACCAATTCGAAAGTTATTCGAGAGAAACTCTTCATATCTAGTGCCGCCATTATGACTTTTTTGACCCATGTGACGTCATCTTTGACCTGACCTGAAAATGACCCTCGTAAAAATTGTAGACCTTGTCCGTGCGTACCCAATGCCGTTTACCGCTTGTCGCTGTCTCTTGCTTCGTTCTCGAGATCTCAGGGGGGTCATCGGTCATCGGTCATCCAACCCCCCCCCCCCGTCGGTTCTAAGTTGGCGCAGACCCCCGTCGGTGCGCGGGTTAACCCGCGCCCCGTAGGGCTACCGGCGGACCCTACCACCCGTAGGGGAGGGGGGGGGGCGTTTCGCCCCCCCCCCCCTAAGATCTCAGAAATTTACCGGCCGATTTTCAAAATTCAAACGGCGTTCGATTGCCCCACTCGGGAACTACCTTGTGACCGAAATTCATTGACCTAGGTCAAACCGATGACGTCACAGGTCAGGTCAAAGGTCGGATTTTCACCGTTCACAGGCATTTCAAGAAATGTGTTGTGAAATCGAGTAAATTGGTAAGTAATTGAAAACCATCGATGGTAAATTGTTCGTCAAACACATACTTTGCTATCTGAGGTCACAAATACCAGGTCAGGTCACAGCGAGGTCAGGTCACGGGGGGTCACATTACGAAAGTGTCGTGTGATACATGTTTTATGGTCCATTTTACATGACAAATGCGATTATGTGGGTTAGGCAGCCTTTGGGGCCAGCCTAGGTCACGTTTTGGTGAAGGTCAGGTCAAGGTCAGGTCAAATTAGATCAAATTTCAAAGTTGATATTTTTGTATAAAATGGGTATCGATTCGATGCAGCTCGTCACGGGGAGTCCAATGGTGGTCTTTGTTTTGCTCTACGAGGTCTAAAATTGCCAAAAATTGAGTTTGAAAATTTGACGTCATCATTTTTGAACAGTTTTTTCGCTATAACTTGGCCAAAAAACGAGGTTTCGATCTGAAATTTGGTATGTAGATAGAAGACGGTAGGTACTATCACATATATTCCGGTTTTTTCGAAACTCAAAAAAACTTTTTGGATTTTATGGCTAATATATCCAAAAAATGCATTTTTGATTTTTGGGGGTCAAAACTCAAAAATTTCAAAAATCTGAGATAGCAGTTTTGTAGCCCTGTCAATTCTACACCTTTTATGTCTTGATCATTTTTCTGTATCTTCAAAGTTGTAGGCCTGACAGGTCTTCTCGCGAAGGTCTTTTTTCGGTCGAAAATGGCAGAACATGACGTCATTCTGACGTCATTTGTGGCCAACCTATGAGAACCTCTGGAAAAAATATGTAGTCCCAATGTGTAAAATTGATGCCCGGAGGAGTCCTGAAAGTTTGGTGGCGATATCTCCAGCCGTTTAGGAGATATTGACGGAAAAGGACAGGAGGGGGGCCGTTTCGCCCCCACCCCCTACGGGGCGCTCAGTTCGGAGCCTTTTACATAACATTCCATTGAAACGGGTTTGATTTGTAGTGTATTTCCTGTGCATTGTGGAGCAGCGGCTGGTCACGGCACATTCGTTAGGATGTCTGCATGTTTGTATGAACACTGTGAGCGAGGTATGTCACTGGGGACGGCCGGCGCTCGCGGCTGGTCGGCCGTCGTCTCGCCGACAGGCGCGGCGGTGCGAGGGGAGCGCGGCGACCACATGCCGCTGCTGGACCGCCGCTCGGCACGGCGGCAATGTCGTGATATATCCGTCCGTCTGCCAGCCACCGCCGGACTGCCCTCCGTCGAGTCCTGGAATCTTCAGCAGTCGTTTCAGACCTGACAAAAAGGGTTCGGCAGCTATGTTAGATGGTCTGAAGTCCGAACTAACCATGAATTTTAGTAAACACCTCCTAACCGGGCCTAACTGGGGGGATATTTTCGTTCCCCTATGTATGACATCGATCTGATTTTTATTTTTGTCATTTCCATTAATTTAGTTCGAACTTTTTAATGAAAGGCTTGAGGAAGCCGCGTTAAGTCCGGACACGGTCATATGTCCGGATACGGTCGTATGTCCGGCCGCGGTTACATGTCCGTACATCATGAGCAGGACACAGTCACATGTCCAGACACGGTTACATGTCCCGGTCACATGTCCGGACACAGTCATATGCCCGGACAGCAGGACGCTGTCCGTCCTCCTACTGTCCACCTCTGGTCACCACACGGCAGTAAAATGAACGCGCACACCTCTAGGTCAGCTCGGAGACACCTGACCTGACCCCGCCCCTGACCACTCACCAGCCCTGCGCAGCCATTGACCACTCGCCGGTCTTGACTGCAGACCTGACCCGTCCCAACCGACCCACCACCCCGGCGCTGGTCAAACGGGCCTTTAACCCGGCAGGCGGTGGGCCTACCAGCCACCTTCCGCGCGGTGGGGGGGGGGCATTTTTTGCCCCCCCCCCCGTATCTCCGAAACTACTGGACGGATCCGGAAAATTCAAACGGCATTCGATAGCCCTGTCAAATTTGTCACAAAAAAAACACATTTCGTTGACCTCGGGGTCACCGATGACGTCACAGGTCAGGTCAAAGATAAAATGTTTCACCGTTCACGGGGCTTCTAGGGAAAGCGCTATAACACCGAGTAAAACGCATTTTGTCGAAAATCAGCGATAAGGCGTCAGTTGTCTAGTACATATGTTGCTATTAGAGGTCACTGGTCACACAAGGTCAGGTCACAGGTCAGGTCACCAAAGGTCACCAAGGGTCACCACATGAGCCCAACTTTACTAAGTTTATGCGATGCATGTTTTATGGCCAGTTTTTCATTTCCAACTCAATGGTGTTGGTTATAAGACCATCAGGTACGGTTTAGGTCACTTTCTGGTGGAGGTCAGGTCAAGGTCAGGTCAAAAAAGGTCAAATTTCAAAGTTGATATTTTTGCATAAAATGGGTATCGATTCGATGCAGCTCGTCACGGGGAGTCTAATGGTGGTCTTTGTTTTGCGCTACGAGGTCTAGCCCTCGCCCGTAAACGGTGTTTTGCCACCTTCGCCCATGCAGGGGGGGGGGGGTTGGTGCGACCCCCCCTGGCGTTTGAAAACGGAGCGTCGTAGAGCTTAGCGGAAAAGACCAACGGATTGCTCTCAATGAGATCTCGCGATTGGTGGTATATTTTTTGGTCCTAGGTCAACATTTGACCTACTTATGACCGGTCAAAGGTCAAATTTTCGGAAAAATCTAACTTTTTCAGATTTCCGCGCTGATTGCGGCAAAACGGTAAGAGATATCGACTTGAAACCTTCACTATCGTGATCCTTGATCAATTCTCTATCGTTTGGTGTGTATTTCGATGTCATAACTCTAAAAATGATGCGTTGGGAGCATCGGAAGTCTGCAAGGTCATTTGTGCATTGGGTCACGTCAGGCGTGTGACGTCACTGACCTGACCCTGACCCAAAATGGACTACAAGAAACAACCGACGATGCCTGAAATGGATAGCAAATTCGAATTCAGGGCATCAAAATACCCCGAAAAGGCATACAAGTGCAAGAAGTCATTACAGGTCAACCGAGGTCACTGACCTGACCTTGACCTTTAGTAACCTTGAAAAGGTCAACGGACATTGTGCCAATGTCAAATCAGCCAGGTATGATTCTAAAACAATCCATCAGTGTGTCAGGTCAGTCGGCATTTATACCAATGTGAAGCAATCTCCAATATAACGTAAATCTGGCCGGAGGTTGTTCCCTTTATGACGTCATAATTCCGTGACCTGACATGACCTTGACAAAAAAATACCAAAAGTTGCGCAAAGGATGCCCCATAAGGTACTGAAAATTTTAGCAGGCTATCTGAAACGGTTCGGCGTGTAGCTAAGAAAAACCTCAGGGGGGGGGGGGGTTGCACCAACCCCCCCCCCTACATGGGCAAGGGCTAGAATTGCTAAAAATTGAGATTGAAGATTAGACGTCATCAATTTTGAACAGTTTTTTCGCTATAACTTGGCCAAAAAAAAGAGGTATCGATCTCAAATTTGGTATGTAGATAGAAGACGGTAGGGACTATCACATATATTCCGGTTTCAAAAAACTTTTTGGATTTTTTGGCTATTATATTTAAAAAATCTATTTTTTATTTTTGGGGGTCAAAATCCAAAAAATTCGAAAAACCGGAATTGCAGTTTTGTAGTCCTTTTAATTCTACACCTTTTATGTCTGAAACATTTTTCTGTATTTCTAAAGCTGTAGGCCTGACAGCTCTTCCCGCGAAACCTTTTTTTGGGTCGAAAATGGCAAAAATGACGTCACTCTGACGTCATTAGCGGCCAACCTATCATAGCCTTTGGAAAAAAATTTTTGGTCACCATGTGCGCTAGCTGCTCCCGGGAGGGTACTGAAAGTTTGGTGACGATCGGCGCAGCGGTTCTCGAGATATATTGAAAAAACTAAAGGGGGGGGGCAAAAAAATGCCCCCCCACCGCCCGGAAGGTTAAAGCCGCCCCTGCCCACCCACCGCCGCCGGCCAGTCCCACTCACCGCCGCCGGCGCTGGACAGAAGGGCCTAAGGGGCAGCCCCTGCCCACCCACCGCCGCCGGCCGGGTCAGACGGGCCTTCAGAGCCGCCCCTGCCCACTCACCGCCCCCGGCGCTGGGCAGAAGGGCCTGAGGGGCAGGCCCACCCACCGCCGCCGCCCCTGCCCACCGACCGCCGCCGGCCGGGTCAGACGGGCCTGAGGAGCCGCCCCTGCCCACTCACCGCCGCCGGCGCTGGTCAGACGGGTTTGTAGAGCAGCTCGGTGATGAGCCCGCGACACTGTTTCATGTCGGCGAACCGGATGTCGCGGCCCTTCTCGATGGCCGCCTGCAGGAAGTAGAAGTGCCGGCCGTCGTCCGTCCGCACCCGGCTGGGCCCGCTCTGGCCGCCCCAGATGTTGAAATCGCTCTGGGTGTACTTCCAGCGGTCCACCTTGACGGTCACCTTGTAGCAGCAGCCGCCCTCGACGGCCACCGGCTGGTGGAACAGCACGCGCATGTCGGCCGGCGCCGCGCCCACACAGTCGCCGCTCACACGGTGGTACTGAGAGAACGCGTCCGTCCACTGGACGCGCTCGAACGGGCCCTGCACGCGCACCGTCAGGCCCAGCTCCATCTGGCTGAAGATGTAGCCCAGGTGCAGGCCCACCAGCTGGAGGTCCTTGTCGGCGCGGAAGCGCAGCTCGTGCAGCGCCTCCATGTCGTCCCTGGCCAGCTTGTAGCCGGCGCGGTAGCGGAGGCAGCGCTCGTGCGGCGGCGGCCGGCGCCGGTGCGGCTCCATCAGCATGCGGCAGGCCGACTGGTTGTCGCCCAGGTCGATGTTGCGCGGGATCTCGATGCCGCGCACCATGAAGAAGCTGATGAGCTCCTGCGGCCCGACCAGGCCCGACGGCAGCACCGTCTTGACGAAGTCGCTCTCGTCGATGCGGTCCATGTGCACGAAGGGCAGCAGGTCGGCGCACGTCTGGCGCAGCGTCTCGTGCTGGGCGCGCTGGCCGGCCGCGCGCAGCTGGTGCTCGCCCCACCGCTTCACCGCCAGGAAGACGACCAGCTCATCGCCGACGTCGAAGGTCTCGCGGTCCAGGATGGTGGCCACCATGTCCTTGGAGAGGCCGCTGAAGTCGGGCGTGCCGATGATGCGTGCCGCGTACTGGTCGACGTAGCCCCAGCAGAGCTGAGTCAGCTCGACGTCCGCCACCTCGCGCGAGAACTCCAGGAAGAAGAACAGGTTACCGCAGGTGAGCGGCGTGAACCGGTAGCTGCGCACCGCGTCCGCCACGAACTGCGAGATGTAGCGCACCAGGTCGGCGCACTGGTAGGCGCGACCGATGTGGAATATGTCGCGCGCCTTCTCCACCGACGCGATGATGCACTCGCCCGAGTAGATGAACCTGTCACAGGAGAGGTCAGGTGGTCAGTCGGGACATCGCGCTCCCACTGGGGCTGCTGAGGGCTCAGCGAAGTCGGTAGGTGTTCAGGATACGTTACGGTATCGTAGAAAAAAATTATAGGACCAATAAAATATTTACCCTGATAATAAAATCTAACCTCTTAGCCAAGCAGTTAATGTCGTTTTATATTTTGAGCGACGTACATTTTAGCGCAGACCCTCGGCCCACTCAAAGACAAATGCCTGAATGTGTTTTCGTTTCGCCTCCACTTTCGAGTCTCCGGTGGACGGTGGTAGCGCTCAAGTCCCGTCCTACCAGCTTCATTTGAGCGTATGCGTGTCCGATACCAGGGCGGTGTTTCACGGGCTGCTGCTACCACGCTGCTATCAAATTGCGCGAGCTGACGTCACACTTGTGGTAGTGTTGGAGCAATGGGCCTGTTGATGTCTCCATGGAAACCCAATTTGACAAGTCGTAAAATCGGCGTGCTGCTATCACCGGTGAAACAGGGCCCTGAGCGTACTCACTCGATCATGAGTTTGAACGTGCCGGGGTCCCAGTCCCTGACGACCACCGGCCGCTCGGGTGGCTGGCCGCCGTACAGGGTGTTCTGGAACACGGCGCTGGCCATGCCGAGCACCAGCCGGTGGGCGCCCACCACCAGCGCCGGCCCGTCAGCCGACTCAGAGTCCGAGTCCGAGTCCGAGTCGGAGTCGGAGGGCCCGCCGTGACCGTTGGTGACCGCTGACCGCCGCTCCGGGGGCGCCTCGTCCCCCGCCGCCTGCTGGGGGAGCCAGACCGCGGACTGTTACTCAGGGACACTAGATGGGCCGCTACACAGTGAGGTGTCAGATGGTCAGCAGGGTAGCTGAGAGGAGGTGTCGGACTATATCCTCACCGGTCAGCTGGGGGAGGGAGGTGTCGGATCGTCACCTGGCCGGTCAGCTGAGCAGTAGGTAGGTGTCGAACCGTCACCTGGCCGGTCAGCTGAGCAGGAGGGAGGTGTCGGACCGTCACCTGGCCGGTCAGCTGAGGAGAGGTACCTAGGTGTCAGACCGTCACCTAGCCGGTCAGCTGAGGGGAGGTACTTAGGTGTCAGACCGTCACCTGGCCGGTCAGCTGAGGGGAGGTACTTAGGTGTCGGGCCGTCACCTGGCCGGTCAGCTGAGGGGAGGTACTTAGGTGTCGGGCCGTCACCTGGCCGGTCAGCTGAGGGAGGGAGGTGTCAGACCGTCACCTGGCCGGTCAGCTGGGGTAGGGGGGTGTCGGGCCGTCACCTGGCCGGTCGGCTGAGGGAGGGAGGTGTCGGACCGTCGCCTCACCGATCAGCGACCGTGATGAACGATGGCCGGTGACGCCGGCGACTGCTTCCCCTCCCCCTCCCTCCCCCGCCCCGCTCGTACTGTCAGCGAAGGCGGCGGGACCCCGGATAGATACCGGCGCCGGACCAACACTGAGTGGGTCGTGAGACCAGCGGCTGCCTCCCGCTCCGCTGCACCGTCAGTGGAGGTGACGGGACTCGGGGAACCGGCGCCGGACCAGCCGTGATGTGACTCTGAGACCAGCTCCCTGGAGCTGCCCGCAGAGCCGGCCAGGCGAGAGCGTACTTACCTGTCCGCTACCGTACTTTCCAGAAGCTCTAGGCAGAAACGCTCCTTACCAGCACCCGGGTATTGATCGACACTGAGTTCTATGGCTTCGGCGCCCAGTATGTCGGCGACTCTGCGCCGTTTCTCAGAACTGATCACGGTTAGGTGGTGCCAACGGAGCACTCCTGAGCTGTTTAGTCCGTACCCACTACCCACTACCCAGACCCACTGCGACCAAAAATAACCCGTATCAAATCAGGCGCAATTGACAACACACGGGTTGAACGTCGCCAGCACCCTCCCCTCCCCCCTCCCAAGGGAGGCCCGAGGAATACTCCCCCTCCCTCAGCCGGGCAGGGGGAGGCCAAGGAAATAGCTGGGCTGCCGGTCAGTGGCACAGCTATTTTGGCGCGCGGGCCGCGCGGCGCGGCGGCCGGCGGGGGTTTTTGCCGGGCCCTGTCAGCCGGCCGGCCGGCCGCGCTGCCGCCGCCGACTCGCCCGTGCCGTCCGAACAAGACAGATGCCGCGCGGCACGGCCGCCGCGCCAACAATGGGAGCACGCCGCCGACGGGCTCCAAGTAGGTTGGCGACACCGATTTCGTAGACAACTACGAACATCGGAACACGTTGAAACATACAGCAACACGCATACATTTGTGCATGCATACATACGGAGATACAGACGGACAGACGGACAGACGGACAGACGGACAGACAGACGGACAGACAGACGGACAGATAGACGTGTAATTCTACGGACGGCCTGCTGATCTGTGCAATCTATGGAATCTGTGTCAGCAATCTAAAGAAGGGCCGTCCGTGAATACAACAGCGGGCAGAGCCTGGCGGCGCGGACTGGTGTGACTCCCGTTACGCTCGCCTGGAGCGCCCGAATCGCTGCGGCACTTGCGGTGCGGCGAGCGGTATCGGTGGGTGTCAGCAGAACGCTGTTGGGCCCGGCAGACTGGCGGTAGCCGAGCACTCGCTCTTAGGAGAGCGTCTGGACTGGCAGGCGTGTCCGCTAAGACAGCCTGAGCCAGAGCCAGTGGCAAGGTCCGTGTCAGTATACCGGGTCCGACCAGGGGTACCGGCGTGGCTACAATCAGAGGCGTCTTTAAGGGCGTGTTGCCCACCTCGCTCGACCGTAGCTCGGTGCGACCTTGAAGGTCGGTTGTGCGTGTGTCTCTCCGTCGTCAGCCTTCAGCCTCCTCCGTCTTCCTTTCGCCTCTCTTCTTCAAAGTCCTGCTCCAGTTAGAAGTCGAATGTATTTGCACACAATTGGGCGACCATTGTACTAACAGTACCAAGTGGTAACGAATAGTGCGCATGCGCTATCATGTAGAACGGTGCACAGTTCCTGGAGGTCCACACGCGCAGTGGCGGACACATTAGGTGCCAGCTAGTAACTTTCCCCTTCCCCCGGCTATAGCCACTTGGCTTGCCGGGAGGACAAAAAAAAAAAAAAAAAAGAGAATATATACACGATACAAACATATGACAACAAACATACACAAACAAACATAACATATGTACACTACGCGATCGGGCACAGCTCGTCACTGACTCTGGTGCACTGGCGGCCCGGTGGTGACGATATGGTGTGTCACACTGTGCTTGACTGGTGCCGGGCCGGGCGCTGGCGATGTTACGTCCGGGTAGCGGGCGAGGACGGCGGCATAGCGAGCAGCAGCCTGCTCGTGGATGAGGCGCACGCCGATGGAGCACAGTCGTGACCGCTGGGCGCTGGCGCACACGGTGCCGTCTCGCAGGAGGCGTTGGCTGGCGACGTCGACGACGAGCTGGTGTGCGGCCAAGAAGTCGGTGCCCAGGATCGGTGTGGTGACATCGGTGACAAAAAATCGGTGCTTCAGGCTGTGATGGCGGCTTAACGTGACGTCCAGCAGACAGGTGCCGTAGACGGCGATTGGCGAGCCGTTTGCCGCGACGAGCTGCTGGCCGGCAGGAGCAGGGGTCAGCGTGGACTTCTTGGGCAGGCAGCGGCGTGGCAGCACGCTGACCTGCGCTCCGGTGTCAATCAGAAATTGATGATTGGTCTTCGTGTCCCGCACGAAGAGGAGCGGCGCGGCGGTGGGAAGTGCGCCCGCGCATTGCGCCAAGAGCGCGGGGCCGCCTAGTTTTCCGCCCAACTGCATGGCGATTCGCAGCGGCGTGCCCTGCTGCCGAACCGCTGATGGTACCAGCAGAGGTCGTCTTCGTTCGTCGGCGTCGGAGAGCGCGCTGGTGTCGGCGGCCGTGATGAGCTAGGCGCCCGTCGTCGGCGGGATTGGCTCCGGCCACGATCCCGTCGGAGCGCGTCTTGTAGGCGCCGGTTGCTGGCCTCGAGGCCTCGGTGGCTGGCCTGGAGGCTGTCCATCTTGGCGACTAAGGTCGCTACGACGGCCTCTAGTCCGGCTGAAGGTTGAGCCGGTGCCGGTGTCGCAGGCTGCGGCGGCGGGGCGGTGACGACCGCTACCCTCGGGTCCGGTCCGCTGGCGTCCAGGTATCGGTCTGCCGCTTCTGCCAGCGCGTCCAGTGCGCTGTCGGCCGGCAGTAGGGCCAGGGCAGCGCGGACGGGCTGCGGCAGACGTTGTTTGAAGAGTGTCCGGAACAGCTCCGTGTCCACGGGAGCGTCCCCGGCGGCGGCCAGCTCGTTCCTCATGGAACGGAGGAGCGCCGTCGGCTTTTGGTCGCCGAGCTGCTGTCGGCTGAGTAGCGACTGCAGCCTGTCGGCCCGGGATTGCGCAAGGCGAGACTTCAGCGCGTCGCACAGGGCGGTGAATGACCTTGATGTTCTTATCACGTCCTTGACCTGGACGGCGATAGTCGCTGGCAGGTTGGCGACTAGAAGTTTGTACCGGAGCTCGTCGGAGCTTACGCCGCTGATGTCGAACGCGCATTCGACCTGTAGGAGCCATAGATCGGGCTCTTCTGGCGTGTATGGCGGCAGGCGGAACGAAGCTAGCGGCCGTTGAGCGGTCTCAGCTGGAGGCCCGTTGGACACCGTCGCGGGAGGGGCGCCACGCGGTGCTGCGTTGTCCAACTCCGTGGCGTCCGGCATGACTGGGTTGGAGAATCACGTCGGGGTCACCAGTGTAATTCTACGGACGGCCTGCTGATCTGTGCAATCTATGGAATCTGTGTCAGCAATCTAAAGAAGGGCCGTCCGTGAATACAACAGCGGGCAGAGCCTGGCGGCGCGGACTGGTGTGACTCCCGTTACGCTCGCCTGGAGCGCCCGAATCGCTGCGGCACTTGCGGTGCGGCGAGCGGTATCGGTGGGTGTCAGCAGAACGCTGTTGGGCCCGGCAGACTGGCGGTAGCCGAGCACTCGCTCTTAGGAGAGCGTCTGGACTGGCAGGCGTGTCCGCTAAGACAGCCTGAGCCAGAGCCAGTGGCAAGGTCCGTGTCAGTATACCGGGTCCGACCAGGGGTACCGGCGTGGCTACAATCAGAGGCGTCTTTAAGGGCGTGTTGCCCACCTCGCTCGACCGTAGCTCGGTGCGACCTTGAAGGTCGGTTGTGCGTGTGTCTCTCCGTCGTCAGCCTTCAGCCTCCTCCGTCTTCCTTTCGCCTCTCTTCTTCAAAGTCCTGCTCCAGTTAGAAGTCGAATGTATTTGCACACAATTGGGCGACCATTGTACTAACAGTACCAAGTGGTAACGAATAGTGCGCATGCGCTATCATGTAGAACGGTGCACAGTTCCTGGAGGTCCACACGCGCAGTGGCGGACACATTAGGTACAGAGAATATATACACGATACAAACATATGACAACAAACATACACAAACAAACATAACATATGTACACTACGCGATCGGGCACAGCTCGTCACTACAGACGGACAAGACTTCAGAGATAGGGTAAGGTGCCTAATTAGCGACCCCCTTAATTTGAACCGTCATTGCTCACGCTCTGTGGGTGCCACTGTGTTACTGGCTTGATTTTCGGAGAGATCGTTCATTTTTCTATTAAAATATAGTCATTTTCTGCCCCAATATTCACTAACTTAATTGTAGTGAGCATTTTGGCAAACCATTGCAAAAAACGCTAATAGGGAACACTTCCCGATTAGCGACCGGGGAGGGTCGCTAATAAGTCTATGGGTTTCCCCATATTAAAAATGGCAAAAAAATGCGACGCCGGAAAAGATGAAATATGATCTCAAAAAGATAACCTATACGCAAAGCACTCAATCACTCGAACAGGAACGTTTATCCAACACATTTACGTGAGTAAAAACTGATCACGTGATGCACCGAAGGCGAAAAGAAGGCGGAAACCCACATTTTGCGGGCTATCTTGTATGATATTCGAGGTCCGCCCTGAATTCGGCACCCCTGCAGTCAGTGACGACATTTGGCATCCCCTGCCACACATTGCAAGCTTCAGCAACACCTCATTTTCATTTCTCTCTTTTCCCCTTTCTTTCCCTTCTTGAGCTATTTGCGACCATGTCAGGCGCAAATAGGAAATATGAGTTGCGACACATTTTCAACCCGCGCCCCAGTGGCGGTCTCCGCCAACTTCGCCCTAGTGAGGGGGGGCATATGTTACCACCCACCTCTAACTCAAAAACTAAGAGGGCTAGAAAGACGCGGTAAAAAGCAGTCGATAGCTCTTGATGCGTACGTTTGAAAGTATTTCGGTCATTTTTCATCTTAGAGCAATATTGGGGTCACCAGAGGTCATCAAAGGTCAAAATTTGCGAATTGTCATTATATTTTTCAGAAAACATGCCATTATCTCAAGAACTATGATAGCTAGAAAAACGCTGGGAAAAGCAATCGATAGCTTTTGAACTCTTCTTTTGATAAGGCCATTATCAAAAATGACCTCAGGTCAACGGTTTAGCCTCCAGACGGCAAAAACTCCAAAAATAGCTGTTTTTAAGAAAAGTGTTTTTCGACAATAACTTTTGACTACAAAAAGCTAGGTCATTTCTAATGCCAGAGTCGTGTTCCTCTCGCCGAGACGCGTCGAATGAACTATAATTTGACCTTGAAAGGTCAACTTGAAAAATTTGACCTCAGGTCAAGGTCATGACCTGGCCGGAAAAGGTCATGTTGCATATCAGTCGATGCGTCTCGACAAGACAAACACAATGAGGCCATCCCCAGCATTCCATCTCTTTCCAATCGCGAGTTATTGGCAAAAATCTGTTTGTAGCCTCAAATGACCTCGGATGACCTTTCTAGAGGCTATCAGCAAAAAAGACACCTTGGTCGTCACGGTTGGTCCAAATCATTGCGATTCTGAAATATTTGGACTGTTCCTATGCGTACACACGGTTCTAGAGGCATTTTCGTTTTTCTCCATTGACTTATAATGGAAAGGTCACGCCACTGACCTGACCTTAGGTCACGCATATAAAAAATCCGAGATATACAAATTGTAGGCACCCATAACGTCATGTAATCCACCAAGTTTGAAACCTCTCTGACAAACACTGCAGGCTGGACATGATTGCAAACTTTTTTTTAGGCTTGGTCAGTTAACTTGACCTAGTGACCTGACCTGACATGACCTGGGGTCAAAAATTTCACACATTGTCCAAAATTGATGTATCAAAAGCTACCCCAAGCGGCGCGGCGCTACGCGCCGCGGTTTTTTTATTTATACGAAAAAAAACGCGACAGGGTGGTAACATATGCCCCCCCCCCCCCCACTGGGGCGAAGGTTAACCGCCATGCTGTGCACAGTTGAGCGATTCACTATGGGAAAACGGCAATCAATTAAAAAAGGAATGTCGATTCAGAATAAAAAAGGTGCATCATCCTAATGTGCATCGCTTTTCATCAGAGGGCCCAAACACACACGTTTTGGATAAGAAACTCGTCATTTTCATTTAAACTCACCTGAAACGTCCCACCAGAAACATCGACGACCGGAAAATAATTTAATTTGATAACCAAAGTATGGCTGACCTTTTGACGATGTTTTTACCCCGTCTTCTCCTGCCAGTTTTTCTGTAGGGAGGTAGGTCGCAAATCGGAAAGGGTCGCTAATTAGGCACCTTACCCTACTCATGACTGGGAGGGATGAACAGGAAGTGCGAGTGGGGGGTAGAAAAAATAATCGAACCTTTTAACCCGACGCTTTATGTACCGAATAATAATTAACCCGTCTAATAACTAATCAGTAACCCCTAATAACTAACGACTAACCTGTTTAAGAACTGATAAGTAACCCTTCATAACTAACAATAACTAACCCGTCTAACAACTAATAAGTAGGTAGCCCCTGATAACTAGCAATAACTAACCCTTTTAATACCTAACTAATAAACTAATAATATTAAACCTAACTAATAAATAATAATAAACAACCTCTAATCACTAACAATCAATAACCCGTTATAACTTTTAAAGGTAGTGTGCCAGCTTTCTTGGACCATATGGAGTTAATGACCCGGATAAGGAGAACCGGATTTTTAGAACTTATCCATACCTTCAAAACTTATGGAAATGTCTTAAATTCTTCAAATTTTGAGTACCCCAGTGCGAAATTCGCCCCGACGGGTTGTCGGTCGTACCCCAACCACATTTCACACCACTATGAACAATAAATGCACACACTAAAATCGCTATTACCGACAGGCTCATCCAATCAAGTTTCGATAAACCCGTTCATCATCATCTCCTGCGGTTTCGAACACGCCTGTTAGGTGGCTTCTGATGCTCGTCGAGGTCGGAATTTCCAAATACGCGTGGTGCGTCGGGCCGCGCGCTCTGACTTCGGCCAAGAAAAATGCGTCAGCTGATCATTGTCATTTCTGCCACTTGCGTGTGGTGTAATGGGGTCATTTAAGAGACGGCTGTTTCATATCAATTATTTTACATAAAATCATATTTCAAACCACAAATTAATGTTCGACAGCCAAATTTAAGAAACAATACCAATACAGGCTTACAGTTTAAGGCTCGACATTGTGTTGTCTACGATTAGACAGCTGATAACTCATTCCCGTACGTCGTATGGTCGTAACACTATAATGACCTTTGCTTATTGTCACAAGTGCGCCGCATTCGCGATTGTTGCCCGACGCCTGTTTGCAGGCGAGCCCACTACAGTTGTTATACATATCTAAAAACCGATAAACTTTTAGGCGAAAAAGGCACTATTCCAGGTCCATTTTTGATTTTTTTTCCGATATTAGGTAAAAACAGAAGCTTCTTATCCTAGGAAAAATAAAACGGGAAATCTTTCAAAGGTGGCACACTACCTTTAAGTAAACCTAATAACTAACAATAACTAACCCCGTACATCGTCTCACCGGCTGGCGGCTCGTATATACCCCGTCTCACTGGCTCTTATGCCCGTCTCACCGGCTCGTACAGGTGGAAGGTGACGTCGACCATGATCTGGTTCTCGTAGAGGTAGCGCAGTTTCTCCCGAAACGGAACCGACGCCGACCGCCAGTCGTCGCCGATGACCGGGGACGGCGCGCCGATGCTGCATCGTGACCGCGTCCGCACCCTGCACCGGGAGGCACGGCGCCGGTCATTGGGAAGGGAGCAGGCAGGGGCGTAGGCAGGGGGGGGGCCACTGGGCCATGGCCCCCCCCTTGGGCGCCGAAGGCGCCCTTTGCGATTGGAGGGCGCCGAAGGCGCCCTCCAATCGCAAATGCAATTGTGATATAATCGAATCGAAAAACAATCGCGACTGGAGGGCGCCCTCCAATCGCGAATGTGTTTACAGGGAAAATACGGATGGAGGGCGCCCTCGGAGGACGCCCATTCCAAATACGCCCTCCAAATACGGTTGGAGGGCTCCCTCAGGCGCCCTCCAACCACATTTGTAGGCTGTAGCTCTCTAAGCGTAACGGTGGTCGCCTATGTAAGCCGCTGTCCTGTAAATAAGCGCCCTCTCACCCGAAGGCGCCCTCCTGTAGGTCGCCACCCTGCTACACATTGCCGCCCTTCTGCTGATCGGTGTCCTCATAATTATTGGCGCTCTCCTACCTATTGAGCCCTCATGTGAAATTTTGAAGGCCGCCTTTCTCCCTTTTGGCACCCTCTTGTTCAGTGCCGCCCTCCTACCTATTGGTTCCCTAGTCCTTCCTGTTGAATGTTAATCGGGGCCCTTCTCCTATTGGCGCCCTCGTGTAGATCGCCGCCCTCCTAACCACTGGCACCCTCCTGTTGATCACCGCCCTCCTATCCACTGGCACCTTCCTGTTGACCAGCGCCCTCCGCACAGACGCCCTCCTGTTCGTGTCATCCTCTTGAGCAAAGGCGCCCTCCTCACCATTGCCACCCCCATTTTAATCGTCACCCTTCCGCTCATTGGCGACTTCCAGTTGATGACCGCCCTCCCACCTATTGGCGACCTCTTGTTGATCGCCACCCTCCTATTGGTGCTCTCCTGTTCCTCGCCACCCTCTTACCTGGTGGCGCCCTTCTGTTGATTGTTGATCGGCGCCCTCCTGCCTATTGGTGCCCTCCTGTTGATCGCTGCCCTTCTATCCATTGGCGCCCTCCTGCTGCTCGCCAACTTCCTACCTATCGGTGCCCTACTGTCGAAACTCGGGATGTTGATCGGGGCTCTTCTACCTATTAGTGCCCTCCTGTGGATCGCAGCCCTTCTACCTATTGGCAACATCCGTTGATCGCTGCCCTCCTATCATTTATTTACTCCTTTGGCATGTTTTTCAACTTAGTCGTTCTATTGCACATAGTTGATGTCTTGCCTGTGAAAACTGCCACAAATGAACGTGCATTCAGCACAATGAATGAAGTATCTATACCTACCAAAACTATCTACGCTCTACGATGCATAAAACACGTCTTTGGTCTTAACGGATTGATCCTACTTTACGTGCATCATGGCATCTATATGGATTACGATTAAGTATTGTCAACAGGTTCGGGCGCAACAGCAGGCATCTGAAGTTTCGGTGATTGAAACTGGTTATGTGAGTACACTGTATGCATCTGTGAGAAGGCTATGAAGGCTGGTCTGAGGTAATTTGGATGATGTTTACGCATCTCGCGCTCCGGTATCAATCCGATACGGTGATCTGGTGCGTAGATATGCCACCGCCAATAAACTTTTATACATCGACACCCATGAGCCAAGCTTTCTGTACAGTTTGTGTGGCAGCGGCCCGACCAAACCTTAGGTATTTTTTACACCTTCAAATTTGGTAGAAGAGCGAGAGGAGCTTTGAACAGTGATCGTATAAAAGGCGTGCCTAAAAAGCGGAGGAAAAGGTTGTTTTCAAAAATTTCGCGCGCCTTCGGCGCAGCATTTCAAGAACACTTGACCTTTTGTGACCTGGAGTATAAAGAATACACACGATGCAAAATCAATGCAGCACGACCTATACGAGGTTACGCAAAAAAAAAACTGGTGGCATGGTAAAAAACGCCTCCCAACCCCCCAACCCCCACTGAGCGATTTTTTATCTCGCGACCGTATGGCGCCCTCCTTGGGTGAGGTGGCGCCCTCCAAACCCTTGGCCCCCCCCTTCGCGATTTTCTAAATACGCCGCTGGGAGCAGGGGAGAGGTGCCGCGTCCGCACCCTGTGGGGACGGCCACGTCATGGGTCAATGGTCATAGGAGAGGGGAGAGGTGCAGCGTCCGCACCCTGCACCGGGAGGCACGGTCAAGGAGCCGGTTATAGGGAAGGAGGCCGGTTCCGCATACATCCGCACCCTACAGGGAGGCACGGCGCCGGTCATTGGGAAGGGAGCAGGGGTCGGATATCCGCACCCTGGGGCTATCACGGCGCCAGTCATGGGGAGGAGGGAAGGGGCGGACGGTGGGAGTCATGGGGAGGGGGGAAGGGGCGGACGGTGGGAGTTATGGGGAGGAGGGAAGGGGCGGACGGTGGGAGTCATGGGGAGGAGGGAAGGGGCGGACGGTGGGAGTCATGGGGAGGCGGGAAGGGGTGGATGGCCTGGGAGGTCACACCGGTGCGATGACACTGAAGCTGTGGGCCGTGCGGTGACTGTCCGCTGCTCGCAAACGTGCAGTTATTGCCAAACTGCGCGTGGCAACTGGTACTGTCTATATATGGCCTTGGGTACTGGTATGACGGTGCGTAAATATTTTAGGCTTATGCCGACTCCAGTTGTTCATCACTGTGCTCACACATCTACCTCGTTTCTTTAGCCGTGGCACAGATTCTGCGCCATCCGCTGCTGCGACTCACGACTGTTTGTCACACTCACGGCGCGTCTCCTGTCTTCGTCCGTCTCACGTCTCCCGTCTTCGTCTGTCTCAAGTCTCCCGCGATCAAAGGGTGCTTCCATTCTCGCCCGACCCATTCAGACATTCCTACCTTGAGGCTGGGGGCGGGGTATGAGCCGCAGGCTCGCTGTTACGCTACGGAGTACGGACTGGTACATTTTCATAGAAAGAGCGAATTGGCCGTCATGGGCGCCGGATTTATAAATGCGACATTTCAACCGTCGACTGTTGTCAGCTGTCAGACCTCAACGGTGCCATAGCGGGCCCATATGCTTCGCGAGTCCCGGGAAAGCCACACTTACTCTGAAAGATCGTTCAATTGATGCGTCTCGATAAGAACAGCGCGGTGCTGGTAATATCATTATTGAACATTTTTTTTTTGTCAAGTCATTGCAGAAAAAGCGTTTTCACAGGACGTCAATTTGGATTATTTTCGACCTAAGCCCAGTCGCTAACCCTACCGGACGTTTTGTACGTATCGTGTAGCACATTACTCGAATTTGCGGTTCAATCTGTGCGCATAGGTGGTCGTCACCTACATTTCCAGACTCTTGAGTTGAACTTGCTCTGGGATAGCGTGGCAAAAACTGAGATGACCTCATATAACCTAAATGACGTCACCAATGGCACATCGCAAGACTCAAAATGCGGAGATGAAGTAGCCAGCAAATAAATACACATAGCTCAATTCAAACTGTTTGAGATGCCAGACTTCAAATCCGAGATATATGTACAATAAAATTTACAGTTCCATTGCCTAATCTGTGGAGCGCCCATTTTGACAACACAATCCGAACCAGCTAGGACACTGCTCCTACTTTCTTTTTGTCGGATCATTAGCCCGCGCGACATTGCAGTCGGGCGTAACCGTTCATAGCTCAGTTGTCTAGCTGTCACAGGCAGTCCCGGGCATCCCTTTTGGCCTGGGATTTACTACCTGTCAGTCTCGGCATACCGCGCCGGCGGCGACTGAGCAGACCAGAGCAGCGCGCCGCAGACAGGTAGAGGGTTCACCTGAGCAGACTGCCCCCAGTCCTCCCCTTCTCTCCTGCCGAGACCAGACCGGCAGTGACGCCGACCCACACATTCCCCTGACCGGCACCGCCCCGGCCCCGGCCTGCCAGTTCGCCGGCAGTTCCGTCCCTCCTCCCCTCCCCTCCCCCGGACCACGGCAACTACCGGCCGCCCGCAGCTCCGCGCTCCCTCCCCGGACCGGGGTCCCTCCTTCCCTCCCCGGACCGGGCAGCTCCTCATCCCCTCCCTTCCCCCGGACCACGGTAACTACCGGCCGCCCGCAGCTCCGCGCTCCCTCCCCGGACCGGGGTCCCTCCTTCCCTCCCCGGACCGGGCAGCTCCTCATCCCCTCCCCTCCCCCGGACCACGGTAACTACCGGCCGCCCGCAGCTCCGCGCTCCCTCCCCGGACCGGGGTCCCTCCTTCCCTCCCCGGACCGGGCAGCTCCTCATCCCCTCCCTTCCCCCGGACCACGGTAACTACCGGCCGCCCGCAGCTCCGCGCTCCCTCCCCGGACCGGGGTCCCTCGGGCCGGCTCCGACCAGACAGCTCACCGCTCGTAGCCCACCGTCAGCAGCTCGGGCCCGCCGCCGCCGCCGGCCGCCTCCGCCCCACCATTGTCCATCGCGACTGACCGCGGCGGCGGCGGCGGCGGCGGCGGTGGTGGTGACGGCGGGCTGGCGGCGCTCCCGGCAGCGTCACACCTCTGTGCCCGCAGCGCTCACCGTTTGGGCGGCGCCAGGCGCTCCCTGCTGTCGGCCACGGTGTCTGTGCGGCCCGGCCGCGCTGACCAGCCGGGTCGTCCCACTCCGCCCGCCGCCGAGACTGGACCGCACTGCCGCGACCGCACCACTCCGTCCGGCGCCGAGAGCGGGCCGCGTGTGACGGACGAGTCGGCCGTCAGCGCGGCGCTGTCACACCGGCGGCCGAGATGAGTGCCGACCCCTCCCCTACCCCATTCACCCACCCCCTGTCAGACCGACAGCCCCCCCCCCCCATCCACCGGACAGACGGCGGCCGCGGCCCCAGACAGTGTGTATTCGGTACGGGCGGGGCGGCGCGCGCATTAAAAAACACTCTGAAGTTTGTACGCTTTAACATAACTCGCTCAGTTGCACGGAACAGGCGCGGCGCGGCATACAGTGGCGCAGCACGGCATACAGTGGCGCGGCGCAGCGCGGCGGGCGCCGCTCGTCAGGTCAGGTCCCATCACGGCGGCCGCTCTCATTTTCGCGACCTCGTCAGTCGTGTGTTCTTTCCGGCGGCCTGCGGGCAGGAGGGGGGAGGGGTCAGAGCCCTGCAGCGGTACAGCGTCATACGCACGAGGAACGCAGGATTACTGGCACATAACGACAGACCTTCGTCCGAAAACCAGCATCCGAATTTCGCATTTTCCAATGTCCTGCCCAGAACAGTGATTACTTATAATTCGTAAAGAAATGGTCAAGAGACCTATGTAGAGCAGATCTATTAGATCATGAAAGTCCGATCGTTAACCTTTCTGGGCTTACTGCACATCAATGGGTAAGAGGTAAAAAGGGTTGAATGTAAATATACTTGACAGTTACAATTCAAACGCAGAATATGATTTATGAGACGATGAAACATGGGTCAGCTGTCCGACAAACCCGGGCCAACGGTCAACTCGGATCTACCCGACACATTTCAGACGGGCAGCCGTCAACCGAATCACATTACGACTGGAATCGCTTAAAAAGCATTTTCTAGAACAGAAACTACTAGCAGTAACTCTCTTGCCACAAACCATTTCCGAAAATGGCCAACTCCACCAGCTGTTTACACTCCAGCCAGTAATGTGGAAATGCAACACTTCAGTCTACAAGGCACTTGAAGTGCACACTTAGCTTTGCGATAGTAAATAACACCACACCATGGTCGCGTGCGCAGTATAACTTGAAAATAATCCCAAGCGGTCATTGGAGGCCACCTCGACCGACACGCACAAAAAAAAAAAAAACAGGTGACCCCTCCCCCCGGACTGTTTCGTCCCCACAGTCCTACTCCACCCCACCGTGTGGTCCCACAGCCCCCACTGTGTGGCCCCACAACCGCCCCGGACTGGCCAGTCCGCCAGCCGGCCCGGACTCACCGCGTCCTCCTGAGCTGGCGCGGCGTGTCGCGCCGACTTGCGGCTCGGTTCCTCCGGCTCCGGCTTGGCGGCCGGCGCCGGCTTCCTCTTGGCGGCGGCCGCCGGCCGGGCCGACTCCGGCTCCGGCTCAGACTCCGGCTCCGGCTCAGCCGCCTGCCGCTTACCGTTCACAGAACGAGATCTGCGCGGCCCAGAGAGGGGATGAGTCAGAACTGACGCTACAGCAAACATGGGTCTCAGCTAGTGATGCCAATTACGGTAAATCTGAATACCGATACCAAACCAAATACCAACCAAACCCATGGGGAAATACCGAAACCAAACCAACTTGGAAAAATGAGGGAAATACCAACTTTTTACCGATTTCTTAGCCTCTTATACATTAGTGAGGGTTTATGATACCAACAAAATACCAAACACATTAGGATTGAAATACCAAATACCAAGTTGGTATCGGTTTGGTATCGGTATACCAAAAAGTTGGTATCCGATTGACATCTCTAGTCTCAGCGTGGCGACAGCGTGCGGATGAATAATAATTACCGATGGACAATATATCACGTTCACATGACGGACAGGGGGGACAGATACGAGTGGCACAGGGGACAGGGGGACGGACAGAGGGACAGTGTGGCCACCTACCCAGACGCCTCGGCGGCCTCCTCGGTGGCCGCCGCCCTGGTGCGGGTGGTGCGCGGCGCGGCGCGCTGACCGGCCTCCTCGCCGGCAGCCGACGAGTCGCCGCTGCGGCCGCTGCGTGTCGAGCGCTGACTGCTCGGGGTCGGGGACGCCGTCCGCGGCGCCTTCTTGAAGTAGCTGTGACCGGGGCGGGCCGCAGGTCAGAACTGGTGCACCGAGCCGCTGGGCGCCGCGGGGACAGTCTTAACATCACATACAACTCCTGCCGTCAACTCGAGAGAAATCCCCCACGCGAGAACATTCAGAGCATTGGATTCTATCTTGTTTGTCCTCGGAACTTGCATGGTGATTTTGTTCTGTTTGTCCTTGGAGGAATAATTGCGGGAGGTGTACTTACTGGGTGACAGTACTTACTTGGTGATTTTGTCCTGTTTGTCCTTGGAAGGACTGTCTAAGTGTACTTACTTGGTGATTTTGTCCTGTTTGTCCTTGGAAGGACTGTCTAAGTGTACTTACTTGGTGATTTTGTCCTGTTTGTCCTTGGAAGGACTGTCTGAGAAGGTCGATGACTGCTCCGACAGGTCACCACCGGCCGCGCTATCCACCGCTGCGGCAAACAAATATATACGGGTCAGACATACAGATAGAGACGGTCTCAGAGACAGATATAACGGGTCAGACATACAGATAGAGACGGTCTAAGAGACAGACACAGACAGAGACACGTGGACACACAGACGGAGACACAAAAGGCGGATGGGGATCGGACACTGTAACCTACAACAGCTCAGACGGACGGGCCATAGACACACTCGGTCAATGACCTCCCGACAGGTCCCGACCGTTAAATTTATTTTAGCTTAGTTTATTTGGCTCAACATCAAAGAGCATGTGCGATCAATTACTAGATGAAACCATGAGATAAAACTGGAGGAAAGAACTGAGAAACCAGACGGGCCATCTGACATCCCAACACATATTCAACACGGGCGGACACAGACGTGTGCCAAAATATTGAGCTACACAAACCTATCAGGTCACGTCTGACTGGTACGCCTCAGCACGTCACCCAGCGCCTAAGCGGCATCCTCTCCAATTCTCCATACATTTCCCTCGTCCCTTCCCGTCCCCGGTCCACTCACAGTCGTCGTTTCTGTCCCGCTCGTGGGCGGCGCGCCGGCTGTAGGTGGCCGGAGGGTCCCGAATCAGTCGCGCTGCCGCCGCCGCCGCCGCCCCCGAGCCGGCAGAATCCTCCTCGGTTTCCGCCTGAGCCGGAGGACAGAGACGGGTCAGAGGGGGGTCACAGAGGACAGAGACGGGTCAGTGGGGGTTATACAGGGTCACAACTCACACTGGGGGGTCACAGCAATTCAGACGAAATAGTCACACACCAGATCCCATCTGAAGCCTGCCGCTGCGGGAAAGCACGGTGTGCTCGGATAACTATTGTTGCCTGTCTATTTTTCGCAGGGTTCGATACGTTTTATTGGCGTTATTTCAAAAAGAAAAAAAAAATGCTGAGGTAATATGCAGTTGCCGTGAATCATTACATGATTGAGGCAATTAAGCTTTTACTGCTCGTCCGCTCATAAAACTCGATAGATTAAGGCATCCCCGGACACAGTAATTCGAACAGTAAAAATAACATTGGCTAGGGCCCCCACCGGCAGAAAATCACGCATTATTGACAAGTCTTTACGTAAGAATAGCAAAACTAGTGAGGGAAACAACACAACAGCCAGTTCCAACTCCCCCTTTTCGGAAAATCTTTTCGCGCGTTCTGATTACCGGCAGTGAAGGCTTCCCCTCCCCACACGCACCTCTGCGGCGGGCGACTCCTGCACAATCAGGGTCAGCTCCTTCTCGCCCCCGGTGGCGGCGGCGGCGGCCGCCGCGGCGCCGGCCTTGGAGGCGCGGATCTGCTGCGCCAGCTGGATGCGCTTGTTGATCATGCTGTGGCTGTGCGCCATCGACACCATGTTGTTCCGCTTTCCCAGGTGCTGCAGCTCGGGCGGCAGGTAGATCTTCCCTGAGGGTGACGGAGGGGCGGGGCGGGTCAGGTGAGGGCCGGTACAGACTGCAGCGCTGGGTGAATCAGAAAACACGGAGATATTGCAGTTATCGACGGAAGTTAGTTGTAACATTCGGCCAGAAAACTCAGACATTAGCCCCACGTATCGTTGCAGTTTTCGGAACGCACAATTGATACGTATGTCAACAACTACAACTTTATTAAGGCCAGTAATACAAAAAAAAAGTATCGTCGGCCCCAACCTGCGGCACGCGCTGGTCTACTAAAGCTCACCGTTGACGAAGTTGGGGTCGGCCGGCTTGCGGAAGTACATGGGTGGGATGCGCGGCTCCGAGGGGAACTCGCGCATCTCGAAGTTGGTTGTCTTGGTGAGCAGCAGGCCCATGGCCAGGTCACAGACGGCCCACAGTTTCTGTGGATGGACAGGCCAGGTCACAGACAACCCACAGTTTCTGCGAACAGACAGGACAGGTCACAGACGGCCCACAGTTTCTGAGGACGGAGAGGACAGGTCACAGACGGTCCACAGTTTCTGCGGACGGAGAGGACAGGTCACAGACGGCCCACAGTTTCGGCCGGACGGAGATAGGTCACAGACGGCCCACAGTTTCTGTGGATGGACAGGACAGGTCAGACGGCCCACAGTTTCTGCGAACAGACAGGACAGGTCACAGACGGCCCACAGTTTCTGAGGACGGAGAGGACAGGTCACAGACGGCCCACAGTTTCTGCGGACACTGGACAGACAGGGCAGGTCAGTCGGCCCACAGTTTCTGCGGACGGACAGGCCAGGACAGGTCACAGACGGCCCACAGTTAATGTGGACGGACAGGCCAGGTCACAGACGGCCCACAGTTTCTGCGGACGGAGAGGACAGGTCAGACGGTCCACAGTTTCTGCTGACGGACAGGACAGGTCAGACGGCCCACGGTTTCTGCCGGACCGACCATCGGGACATTGTGCCGGGAACATAATGCGGGATGAATCACAACATAGCACAGACGCCCATATGGCACCAGCTCGCCCACCCGCTCACTGCGGAAGGTGATGTCAGTCCAGTTTCACCACTCGGCTCTGATCGTTCCCGAATACCTGAGCGCTGGTGGTCACAGCCCCCTCTAACCCTTCCACTCACAGCACCCCCCCCCCCCGCTGTGCTATCAGCGCCGCTCCCTCACTCACGTGGTTGGCGGCCTCCTCCTCACTGCGCACTGCGTCCAGGTGGTTCTTCATCCGCTCCACCAGCGCCTTGTAGAAGCCGAAACAGTAGTTGTCGTTCTTGGTGATCAGCGGCTCAAGGATGAACCTGGGAATGGGAACGGGCCATCAGATAGTAAACAACGACGGAAAGACATCGTGGTTCGTTGGGCATAATACCTGATTTGGAACTAACTGACCTCAGGTCCCTAATCAAGCTAAAAACTAAGAAGAAGTGAATACAACGTACGATAGATATTGCAGGTTGTCCGTAAGTATATGCAATAACCGAGCAAAACAAATTTATTAACGTCCGGCCTGTAAGCATCCTAAAGAAATAGGTTGCTTAGGCCATACGGTTTGACACGTTTGAAGAGGCTCGCGGCCGGTTCCACCGGTGTACTGACCAGAGGCAGGCGCGGATCTTGGTCAGGTACTCGACGTCGTCGTACTCGGTAAAGTCGGGGTCGTGCGCCAGGATGGGCACGGCGAACACCAGCATGTAGTCGGGCATGATGTGCGGCAGCTGGTCGGCCGCCCGCTCCGCTGCCAGACAAACAGACACACAGACACGGTCACACACACGGTCACATACCAGCCGTTAGCAGTGGGGCAGCTGGTCGGCCGCCCGCTCCGCTGCCAGACACACACGCACACACGGTCACATACCAACCCTTAGGAGGGGGCAGCTGGTCGGCCGCCCGCTCCGCTGCCGGGCACAAACATACAAACAGACACGGTCACACACACGGCCACAGGCCAGCCGTTAGGATGGGGCAGCTGGTCAGCCGCCCGCTCCGCTGCCAGACACACAGACACACACACGGTCACATACCAACCCTTAGGAGGGGGCAGCTGGTCGGCCGTCCGCTCCGCTGCCAGACACAAACATACAAACAGACACGGTCATACACACGGTCACAGGCCAGCCGTTAGGATGGGGCAGCTGGTCAGCCGCCCGCTCCGCTGCCAGACACACAGACACACACACGGTCACATACCAACCCTTAGGAGGGGGCAGCTGGTCGGCCGTCCGCTCCGCTGCCAGACACAAACATACAAACAGACACGGTCATACACACGGTCACAGGCCAGCCGTTAGGATGGGGCAGCTGGTCAGCCGCCCGCTCCGCTGCCAGACACACAGACACACACACGGTCACATACCAACCCTTAGGAGGGGGCAGCTGGTCAGCCGCCCGCTCCGCTGCCAGACACACAGACATGGTCACAGAGGAGCCGACGCGACGGTGGTGCGCGTAGTGGTGCCGTGGTGCCGACAGCCGCGCCCACCGGTACCGACAACAACACGCGACGAGGGATGGCCCTTCCCCGCGGATACACGAATTAGACCGTCAGTGATGCCAAAATGCGCCACTTGGAAGGAGCATTGCGCTTAATTGTGATAGACGAAGTTGGCGTGATAGACGAAGTTGGCAAGTGTGGAAATCTTTAGGTCGATCATTTTACTTACATTATCGCGCGCTCCGGCCGGCCCTACTCCTGCCCAGTTTTACTTCCCCATTCACCACCCCTCCCTCCACCCTCCCACTACCCCGGCGGACTCACACCCTCCGTTGAGCAGCAGGCTCTTGATGACGTCGCGGCGCTTCAGGATGTCTGCGGCCATGTACCCACGCACGGTGGCCTTGAGCCGCTTGTCGGGCTCCTGGCCGGCCAGCGCGTACATGCCCATAAAGTCGAGCGGCAGACACTTGTGCGGGATGCCACGGCTCAGGCCCTTGTGCAGCTTGGCGGCAAACCGCTCCCGCACCTGGAGACACTCGTCCTGCAGAGCGCAGACAGGGAGGGAGAGGTCAGAGCAGTCACAGCGGCTGACTAGACATCACCGGTGCCCGAACTCACAGGCAGGCCACTTATCGAGTGTTCATACCTGATCCCATCTCAATTAAAAAAAAAATCGGTAGCCAATGCAATCCCCCAACTAATGACAACTTCACGACACTCCGTGTGATAGCAGTGGTCAGCGATTGTAGCACCTCCCGGCAGAGGAGTCCTTCGAAGGAAAGGAACGCCACGGTTTCCATTGGCCCTCGCGTCTGTTCCGACTCGCCCCTGTGTAAGTGAACCCCCTCAGAATGGAGAGTAGACCGACCAAAACTGAGAGGACCGCCCCACGGACCCGGCGCCCCGCCGCGCGGACTCACGGCCATCAGCAGGGAGAGACTGTAGAACTGGTCGGCAGTGAACTGGTCACCGACGCCCTTCTGCTCGCAGATCTTCAGCATGGCGGCGCCGGCCGCGTAGCGCAGCCAGGCCGCCTCCGGCTTACTGTCGGTAGGCGGGGCGGGGCGGCGTCAGCTCACTCCCAGGACGGAGACGGGCAGGCCGACACAGGGTCGGTATGGGCGACAGGCAACGGAGGCCCCGGTCAGTAGCGGCTAACGGGCTAGGACGTTTGGGCATAGACAGCAGTATTCAAAACAGAGCATAATAATCACATGATAGTGATTGCTGTAGGTACTCGTACAAACATCACAATTTATCGCGATAGGCACTGCCTCCCACGGGGAGCGGCTGTACTCACTTGACCTTGCCCTCCTCGAGAAGGTCGCCGCGGTGGATGATGAAGGCGATCAGCATGCGGAACGTCTTCTGCGCCGAGATGACGTCGTCCTTGAGGCCGATCAGCCAGCGCGCCATCAGCTTCATGCCCTCGATCTTGCAGCGGATGCCCTCGGGCAGAGCGTCCTCATCACACCACTCCTCCTCGCTCTCCCCGCTGTCCGTCAGGTCCTGGAGGGGAGAGGGGGGGGGAGTCAGGTCCACTGGGCAGAGCGTCCTAGTCACTGTCCGTCAGGTCCGGGGGGGGGGAAGGAGAGGGGTTATGGGGTCTTATCACACACCTCCCCACTGTCCGTCAGGCCCTGGGGGGACAGAGGGGAGTCGGTCAGGTCCACTGGGCAGAGCGTCCTCGTCACACCACTCCTCCTCGCTCTCCCCGCTGTCCGTCAGGTCCTGGGGGGGGGGGGGGGAGTCGGTCAGGTCCACTGGGCAGAGCGTCCTCGTCACACCACTCCTCCTCGCTCTCCCCGCTGTCCGTCAGGTCCTGGGGGAGGGGGGGGGGGAGAGGGGACTCGTCACTGTCCGTCAGGTCCTGGGGGGGGGGGAGAGGGGACTCGTCACTGTCCGTCAGGTCCTGGGGGGGGGGGAGTCAGTCAGGTCCACTGGGCAGAGCGCCCTCGTCACTGGTTCGTCAGGTCCTGGGCGGAGAGGGGTACTTACTACTTACTCAGATGCAGGAGACAGAGGGGACTCGTCAGCCAGGTCGCGGAAGGGGTGGGGGATAAGGGATCCTGTCGGCTGTCACACACCTCACTGTCCGTCAGGCCCTGAGACAAGGGGAACTGGTCACTGGTCACACCACTCGTCACCGTTCTATCGCCCACCAGATCCCGTCCAGCTCGGTGTCCGGTAATACCAGGCTTGTGAGCAAGATTGTTTGTTTGTTTGTTTGTTTGGGAGGGGGTTAGGGAACAAGATGGGGCAGCGTGTTGGAACTCGAGAGTTAAGGCATTGTAAAAGAAAAGCGTTCAAATCAGCGTTGGTTGAGCCCAAGGAAACGCACTAAAACGTGCAAATGCATCACACCGAAAAGACAAACGGCTATGGCTGCCTAAAGCACAGTGAAGCAACAAGGCATAAAACTCAGCGCGCTGCTACCTCAACCTGTGGACAACTTACCCGCATCAGCAGGTCCTTGACGATTTTCCTGGAGACGATATTTTTGATCTGGATGGGGAACTTGTTGGAGAGGTGGAGCGCGATGTGGCCCAGTGACACGATGGACGTGCGGTAGTGCTCGTGGCCCAGCTCCAGCTCAGACTTCAGACGCTGCGGCCGCCAGACCGGAGTGGTCAGATGGGTGGGCAGGACGGAGAGCAGCACAGCAAATCAGTAAATCACAGGAAACATCGAGCATACTGATCATGAAATCACGCGGAACCACACTGCCGGTAGTTGGTAGTAGAACAAAGGTACACACTGCCTTCCTACCAGAATACGCGGAAATGTTATATTGCCATTTCTAACACCAAACAATTGGTTCCCGTTCCGACACCTTCCATTCCTGCTCCAGCCGGCCCATCCTCGTCACTGACCTCGAGTATCTCGGTGAAGACGCCCTCCTGGTTGTCGGTGACGTTGACGAACAGACAGCGGATGGCGTGCTTGGCCTGCTTGGGCGAGCCGGCCGTGGCCAGCTGCTGGCAGACGGGCACCAGGCTGTCCATCAGGTCGGGGAACTCGGACGCCAGCGGCCGGTACTTGCCCACAAAGTGCAGCACGCCCAGCACCTTGGGCGTCACCGTGTCGTCGTCCGTCTGCCGTGGGCGGTGGAGGTCAGATCACGGGCGGCTCACAGGCGACAGATCACGGGCGGCTCACAGGGGTCAGATCACGGGCGGCTGAGCACAAAATGCTCTGATAACGCACAACATTTAGAGCCGGATGTGGCATGAACGTGAGCAGGCGGATGTTTGAAACTAGCCACTGGTAACTAATTGGCATGCAAATAAGATTGACATGGACGTGTGCAAATAACAAGGAAATCGCCTGAGTAGTGAGTACTTAAAATTGATCTACCCCATTGTTAACGCCTCTCTCGATCACATGCTCGTACAGGCCGACTTCCCCGTCCCGCCTCGTCCCTGCCCGGGAGAGCCTCGTTCCCGCCTCGTCGCTCACCTGGAGCATGCCGAGCAGCACGGCCAAAATGTCAGCGTGCAGAAACTGCGCCGCCTGCACGTACGACAGCACGAACAGCAGCCGCAGGCCGCGGCCCACCGCCGCGCCCGGCTCGATGTTGAGCTCCTGCGCCGAGGCCGGGTCGCGCACCGCCTCCTCCACCATTGAGACCAGCGCCAGCAGCGCGTCGTGGTCGATCATCACCGACGAGACGCGCTCCAGCAGCTGCTTGATGGTGTTGTAGTAGAGGTTGGTCATCACCGGCTGGCCCAGCCGCTTCAGCACCATGTTGACGCTGTCGACGCTCTCCCGGCAGGAGACGGTCGGGTTGATGACTGTCTCCATGAGCTGCAGCAGCGACTCCTCCTGCGCCAGGTGCTGGGAGAACTTGCGGATAAACTCCTGCGCCTTGACCGGGTCCGGCAGGAACTTGGACAGGTGGTTGATGCGCAGCACCTTCTCCCGCTCGCGCTCCTCCGAGACGGGCGTGCGGTGCAGCTCCAGCAGCTCCTGCACCGTCTTACGGACGCTGCCGGTGCACAGACATGGCGGTGAGGGGGGGGGGGGGGCAGATATAACCGTCTTACGGACGCTGGAGGTGCACAGACACACGCAGCAGTGAGCGGTGAGAAAAGTGTACGGATATAACCGTCTTACAGTCTTACTCTTGCATCGAACGGGTTGATAACAAGCCGAGGACCCGTAAGGAATATTAGTGTCCCTGCGTGACTCATATTCAGCCTCATGCACAATGAAAAAAAAAACTGAAAGCAAGCGCGAATCAAATTATCGTATGACTCAGATCGCGGCTAAGGAACGAGAACTATTATCGGAACAATCAACAATGACTGCACCACCACAGTGACTGAATCCCCACTCACGCCAGCTGCTGTTTCTGCATCTCGATGAAGGCCTTGGTGGCGTTCTCGTCGAGCGTGGCAAACAGGTAGTAGAGTTTCTTCATGCGCTCGCCGGGCGGCAGGGTGAACGGCACCAGGCACGTGTTGACGATGCGCTCCACCAGAAGTCGGTCGTCCAGGCTCGTCATGTAGTAGCCGTGCAGGATCTTGTCCTGGGCGCCAGACGGACAGACAATGTGACGTCAATCCGGAATACAGGATATCACTCTGCACGTGGGGTGTGAAGTATCCCCTCCTATTCTCGTAACAAGTCTGATTCCTGACAACAGCATCTTGGGTGTTTCTGCACGAAAGTGGCATACGAGCAAGCGATGTTCGTTAGATACAAAAGTCGCCTGGAATGATCAGTCGCACCTCACAAGTGCTCAAAGCAACAGACTCCGCTGTAAGTACCGAACTGCCGGGAGGGCCGCAGCAGACTGACAGACCCCTAAGACTCACGCGCTCCTACCTTGATCCATGTGACGGCCGTGCGCGTGGCCTCCGGTACGTCCGGGTTACTCAGGTACTTCCGGTAGATCATGGCCAGACCGCACATGGCCTCCTTGCGGATCTTGAACTTTTTGTCTAAGGTGCGCTCCTTGACGAAGTTGAGCAGCGCCTCGCTCTCCGAGACGATGCTGAAGTCTCGTTTGGCCGTGGAGACGATGGCCATCACCACCTCGTACCTGGAGGCGCGGGGGACGGCGGTCAGTCGAGAGCGGCAACTGCCGGCTCTGGACAGGGGGCAGTCGAGACAGGGGCAGAAGAGACTGGCGAGCCGCGGGTCATCCTATTGACGTGCTACGTAGCCAGTTGGAGCGTCCGATGTCATCCTGGCAGTCGTATTTTTTTTTTGGGGGGGGACGGAACTGGTTCCTGCATGTGGCAAGCAAATCCAAAAAGTTTGCAGATTAGAACTTAAAACTGAAAAACATCAGAAAATAGGTGAAAGATGAACAGTGAGTACTGAGTGGTTTAGCACCCCCCCCCCCCCCCCCGCTATCCACCAACAATAACAGCTGCTCAACTCACTGGTTTCTAAACACGAATCAGACCCCCCGCCATAACAATGCACTATACGCCAGCAGTGCCGCGCGGCGGCCGGCAGCCCTGCCCGGCTACTGAGCGGTCCGCTCACCTGACGGCCTCGTCCGAGTCGTGCTGCCGGAATTTCAGCGTCTCCGTGATGTCCGAGCGCAGCTCCGGGTGGTTCAGCAGAAAGTGCATCGAGTACTGCACACACTTGGTGCGGATCTTCACAGAGATGTCGTTAAACCTGCGACAGGGGAGGCAGCGGTCCTTAGCATGACAGGGGCGACATCACTGCAGTATGGTAGGCAAGTAAGGAGCCAGCCATTCAGTATCTGTTTATCGTAGTATTTTGAATATCTGGCAAGAATCTGTTTGGGATATTGTACAACAGGTTTGACGTAACATTTGATAATAGTAATCGGTTTTAGGACGCTCAACTGTATATGGGGCCAGGTCAACATAAAATTTCAACAATTCGTGTTACAAAAAAAAACCGTCCACCGGCTGATGTCAGCCGTCTCTCTCTCTCTGTGGCGCGCTGAGCCCTGACCTGCCGAGGAAGGCGAGCCACAGCTGCCGGTGGTGCATGGCCAGGTTGGACTCCTGCTCGGAGAACATGCGCGCCAGCAGACTGACGGCGTGGAATCGTTCGTCCTCCTCCGTCGACTTCAGCTGCCGGTCACATAAGAGGGGAGTCAGACGTGGAGGGGAGATGGTGACGTCAGAGACGGCGGGAGTCAGACGGAGAGGGTGACGTCAGAGACGGCGGGAGTCAGGCGTGGAGGGGAGAGGGTGACGTCAGAGACGGCGGGAGTCAGGCGTGGAGGGGAGAGGGTGACGTCAGAGACGGCGGGAGTCAGGCGTGGAGGGGAGCGTGAGGTCAGAGACGGCGGGAGTCAGACGTGGAGGGGAGCGTGAGGTCAGAGAGGCGGGGGGGGGGGGGAGGGAGCTGAGTGTCAGACACGGGGGTCCCCAGACACGAACAGACTAACCCTTCAGACATAGAACGAGCATGGCGAGGCCAGACAAACCAACCCCCTCACCGGTGCGGCGGCTCAGTCTACTCGCGGCTCACGGCGAGCTGCGACTGACCTTGAACTCGAGCTGGGGCTCAGTCAGTGGACAGACCCCCCCCCCCCTACCGACCGGCCCTCCCCAACTGACCTTGAACTCGAGCTGGGGCACCACTGCCCGAAGGACCCCCCCCCCCCCCTACTGACCGGCCCTCCCCAACTGACCTTGAACTCGAGCTGGGGCACCACTGCCAGCAGCACGGTGGGACAGATGTGGTTCAGCTCGTAGATCAGGTCGTACACCTTCCTCGAGATGCCCAGCTTCTTCTCCTCCTTGCCCAGAATCAGCACGTGGTTGAAAAACTGTAACGGCGCGCACATGCACAGGTCAGGGATAATGCCGGTAACGGTGCTTGATAGAGTTATACCTATCAGCAGCCGTCGAGTGCTAATTTGCAGAAGTTCCGCTGGACACAGGATGGCAATGAAGGCCAACAACCTAAGCATATAGGCCTATCTGTGATCATTTTCATAATAAATGTTCGCGAATATAACAAATATTAGCCGAAGAACTGACCGGGACACGGGCCACTGACTGGTCTACAGGCTAGCCGTTGGTCGATGACCCGGACCGGGACCGGTCACTGACCGGGGACCATGGACCGGGTCTGACCTGGACCATGGACCGGTCACTGACCCGGACCCTGCCCGGGGACCCGGAGCCGAGTCCCGCTGAGCGCTCACCGCCTGGATGTAGGGCTCCAGTGTGTCGCTGCACTTCATGATGAGCTCCTTGGCCAGGTGATAGGCGTTGCGCCGTGACGACTTGGCCGGCTCCACGATGTTCATCAGGATGATGTCCATCAGCTCGTTGGAGACGACGTCTGACTCGTAGATCAGAGGACAGAGCACGTCCAGCATGAAGCTCTTCACCTTGCCCGAGTGCTCGTCACTGCGGCGGCGGGGAGGGGTGGGAGGGAGGGGGTCCGTGATTTGGATACACGGCGCTTTAGCAGCCATATTTCACGGCGGCAACGGTCTCTGGGATTAAATTCTCAATAAGTCGTTTTTATATATGTTTCGTGATGTGCATTTCTAGTGGGTCGCATGGTATATTTTCAAAGTATATGCGCATGAAACACGACAAAATCGTTGCACTATGAAGCCAGCAATATATTGACATAATTAGAAGTTATGCTTGTTGATCTGAAAGTCTTACTTGACAATTTTGAATGTAAGCGAGAAGAGGCTACAGATGATCTCGTTGCTATCCTCCAGCTCGAGGCACATGTTGAACGACTTGACGTAGGCCAGGTTCTCCAGAAGGTAGAAGTAGCGCTTGAACGCCGGGTCCTTGGGGTCCTTCAGACCGGCCAGCTGCTTTATCAGGAACATGAAGATCATCTGAAACCGAGATAACGTGTGTCAGCGACGATAAAAATGTTCAATGTATGAAAATACGTTCTGCAAACTGCAGCATTGTACGGAGAGACAGGTTATTTGGAACTTTCTGGATCCTAGGGAAATTAGGGATGTCCTATCAACCTCCGTATGTACTCTCCAAGGCGGGACGGTCAGGACGGGGTCGGAGCCGTGCCCTTGACCTGGACGGGATCATCATACGGACGTACACTGACCTTGACCTGAGGCCAGTTTTAGCAACAGAAAAATAGCCGCCTGCCAGAATTTTCTCCCCTAAAGACCGCTTCACATACGGATCGTAAACGCGCTGGGCACGTAAGCGGATAGGGCTTTACCGTTTACGCTCCGTATGAAAGCGGTCTTTAGACAGAAAATTCAGGCAGGCGGGTATTTTTCTGTTGGTAAAACTGGCCTCTGGGCGGGGTCAATGACCTGTGCGCGGCCCGTACACTGACCTTGACCTGAGCGGGGTCCTTGTAGGGCGCCTCGGGCGCGTATACGCGGAGCACGTCGGCGATGCAGCAGGCCACCAGCAGCTGCACGTCCTTGCTGGGGTACTCGCGGAAGTAGTCGTCGGCGATGTGTTTGGCCAGCGGCAGGTACTCCTGGTAGGCGCCGTCATCCTGCACCATCGACTGGTACGTGTGCGCCAGCGTCTGTAACATGGGGCAGGGGAGGGGTCACTACTAGCGTAACATGGGACAGGAGAGGGTCACTACCAGCGTCTGGTAAATAGGGCAAGGGAGGGGTCACAACCAGCGTCTGTACACAGAGAGGGGTAGGGTAACTACCACCTGTGGGCCAGCGTCTGTACGTACACAGGGAGGGGAAGGGTCACTACCACCTGTGGGCCAGCGTCTGTACGTACACAGGGAGGGGAAGGGTCACTACCACCTGTGGGCCAGCGTCTGTACACAGGGAGGGGAAGGGTAACTACTACCTGTGGGCCAGCGTCTGTTCACAGGGAGGGAGGGGACCGTCAGCGCCATCGTCTGCTGATAGTTATCAGCCTTGCCCTGGAGGCGTGGTGGGGAGCTAGCTGTCAGCTCTGCCCTGGAGGCGTGGTGGGGAGCAGGGTGTTAGCTGTGACCTGGAGGCGTGGTGGGGAGCAGGGTGTTAGCTGTGACCTGGAGGCGTGGTGGGGAGCAATGTGTCGGCTCTGCCCTGAATGCGTGGTGACTGGTGAGTGGTGGGGTCATGTGTTTGCTAGGTGTTAGCTCTGCCCTGGAGGCGTGGAGGGGAGCTATGTAGGTGTCAGCTCTGTCCTGAATGCGTGGTGGGGAGCCCGGCAGAAGCCCCAGGCGGGCGCCGCCAATCAATAGCGGAAGTGGCTCCAACAGAGGCGGGAGGCGGCGAATAGCCGGGGACGGCTTCCCCACACTGCTCCCCGTGCTAGATCCGACCAGCGACGCCATGCAGAAGGGGGATTCTGAGATCTGACCAGACAATCGTGCATAGAGGACAATCCATCAAGGTTCGCTGTTTGCTTGTTTTTCCAAACAAACATACATAAACAAGCTGTTCACGAACAGAAGTGTTCATGAGCAAGTGACGTCATCGGTCGAACTTTCGCACACAAGCAGTGAACAGTTCGCGAACACGGTAAAGAGTTTATCTTTGATCGGGGGGGGGGGGGTAAGACCCCTCTAGCAGCTTCGCGCCCAATTGAGCTAGAGCCTTCCGTAAAAATCAAGCGCGTACTCCGTTACAAGATACAGCACCTAGTAACCAATTTTAGGGTCTCGGGTCAACTGCTGACCTCTGAGGTCAGGGCAAGTGCTACAGGGTAGGCGTTGGGTTTTAGGTAAAATAATTTCATTTTAAGTGGTTGCAGGGTCGCAGCACACTGATGGAAGTTTGTGCCGAGCTAGTCGTGCCCGAGCTCACCCAATTCCACGCCAGCTCGACTTTGGAGCGGGAACAGACGGCAGAGGTCATTGGCCAAGGTCACCGCTAGGGCGGCGGCGGAGTTCCAGCGCCCGCCCTGATGTCTCGGAGATGTCTCGGTGAGACATCTCTAACGCCGCCTCATGCGTCTGGCAACGATACTTACAGCACTTACATACAGTACCCTCCCGGGCATCAATTTTACACATTGTGATAATAGCCAAAAAAGGTGTTCGATTTTCGAGGAAAAAAAACGGAATATATGTATGTGATAGCCCCTATCAACTTCTATTCACATACCAAATTTAAGATCAATACCTCTTTTTTACCAAGTTATTGTGAAAAAATGCTCAAAATTGATGACGTCAAATTTTCCAACTCAATTTTTAGCAATTATAGACCATGTAGCGCAAAACAAAGACCACCATTAGACTCGCCGTGACGAGCTGCATCAATTCGATACCATTTTAAGCAAAAATACCAACTTTGAAAGTTGAGCTTTTTTGACCTGACATTGACCCGACCTCAACCACGAAGTGACCTAAACCGTTCCTGATGGTCTTATAACCAACACCATTGAGTTGGAAATGAAAAACTGGCCATAAAACATGCATCGCACAACCTTAGTAAAGTTGGGTTCATGTACTGACCCTTGGTGACCTGACCTGTGACCTGACCTGGTATTGTCACTGACCTCTAATAGCAACATAGGTACTAGGCAGCTGACGCCCTATCGCTAATTTTCGATAAAATGCGTTTTACTTGATGTTATAGCGCATTACCTAAAAGACCTGTGAACGGCAAAACATTTTATCTTTGACCTGACCTATGACGTCATCGGTGACCCCGAGGTCAATGAAATTAGGTCTCCCTTTACAAAGTTGACAGGGCTTTCGAACGCCGTTTGAGTTTTGCGGATCAGTCCAGTAGTTTCGCAGATACGGGGGGGGGGGAAATAGCTCCCCCCACCAGGTCGCTTTATAAACAGACCCCACCGGCGCGGATTAAGCGCCCGCACAGTCAATGGCGTTCGGCTGGAGGCTCAGCCAAGTGCAAGTTAACTAATTTCACACCTAAACTGAAAATGTCACGACAATTATAATATGTCAGACAATTATATTATTATACCAATTGTCCTGTTACTTTTTCGGTTGTGAATGTGAGTTTCTGGGTTCTTAAGCAATTATTCGGCTGGCCTAGAGGAGCAGGATCTCTCGAAATCACGGTAAAAACGAGTAAGTTTTGGCGCGATTCAGCTAACCATAATCACGGCAAGTGCCGACAAGCAGCGCCATCAGCTCGGTAAGACGCGGTAGGAGGGAGCTAACTCGGCACCACTAGGTAGTTCACCGTGATACAACCTGGAAGCACGGGCTCAGAGTGGGCCAATTCAGAGCGCGGGCTCTGAGCGCCCGCACCGCATCGAACGTGCTGCCGTGGCACACGGGCGACTGAGAGCGCCGAGCCAGCATTTCCCGACGCCACGGACCCGCCGTCACCGATAGCACAGGGAGAGGTCACCGACCACGGACCGGCGACACCCAGACTGGTGCGCAGCTCCACAGCTGGTCACCCAATGCCAGACACATTACGGTAACTCTCCCAGTAGTGCGTTGCGGCCTTTCCCGACACGTATGCGGGGCATCGGACGCTATCGTCTGGTGCGCCGCGATACGCCGCCGCGGTCACCGAGGAGTGGGTAACGAACGTCCGAGGTGTGTATCGGGTGTACCGAGGGGGGGGGGGCACAGCCGACGGGGGATATCTACACCCCAGCCCCCAGAGCAGAGCACACTCAACACTATGAACGCTGGTCACACACAGACAGGTCCGGCACCCACACTAATGCATGGGACCAACATCATTTCACATGTTTGAACGCTTGAAACCACGAAAAGAATGCAAACGCGCGGCTAATGCGAGCCGACATACGCCGAATCGCGATTCCGGCCTAACACGGTCTCGAAAAGTAGGTCACAGGTCAAAGGTCATTTGGGTCTGAGTCATGAAATTTTCAGGGTAGGTATAAAATTGATCAACTCGAAGGTACTGTAAGTATCGTCGCGATTGACCGCTTTTTACGCGAGTTATTCGCGAAAAAAAAAACGAGGGCGGGGTCCGTTCGACCCCTCCCCCCCCCCCTATACGGGCGAAGGTTAACCATCGCCGTACCAATTTTTTTAAAAATAGATTCCGCAATTGTATTTCACATAAATTGAACCCACTACACGGCGTGGCGGACAGACAAACAGACGGATCCTGGAAAACCGTACCAATTGGTTTTCTACATACGCGCCGGTCGAGGGGGGGGGGCGGGTACGACCCCCCCCCCCTCGCCGTTTCGCCCCTGGTGGAGCTACCGCGTCGCGGAAAAAACGAGCGTGTGCGCCGTTACGAGACGCAGAGATTGGTACCCGAGTTTAAGGTCCTAGGTCAACCGGTGACCTCTGAGGTCAGGTCAAGTGCCCCAAGGTACGGTTCAGTTTTTGGTGAATAACTTCGCAAAAAAACGGCCGCAGAGCCGCGATTTTGGCAGCATCGTGTTCGCCTCGCACAGGCGCGTCGAATGATATACTTTTTGTTCGGGTCAGGTCAACTTAGGGTGTTGACCTCAGGTCAAGGTCAGGTCAGCACCCCCAGGTCACGAAGTTGGTCGAAAGAAGTCATGACGCATATCATTCGATTCGGCAGGTCTTCCTGAGTCCATTGGTGGCTTTCTCGACTCGCTATCTAAATTTGATCGGGAGTTATTAACGAAAAACTAATATGACCTTGATGACGTCATAAATGACGTCACGCAAGGTCAACATTGCAAAAGTGACGCATCTAACCTTGCAAGGAGTGCATAAAATCACGATTCTGTGTGCTTGAGATAGTTGGAGATCGTTCCCAGCGCCAGAATAGCAGTTTTCATTTTTCCCCATTGACTTATAATGGTGAGGTCACGAAAATGACCTGACCTCATATGAACTTAAGGAAAAATCCGAGATATACAAGTTGTGAGACTCATAATGGATACTAGATCCTGCAAGTTTTATTTCCCTGTGACATCTCCTCTGGCAGTGAGGGCGTTGCGAAGTTGCGACATCTGAAGACCGTGCAGAGGTTCACTTATGACGTCATAGGTCAGTGACCTGACCCGACCTAAAAATGCGGTTGGTGTCAAAAGATGCGGCTTGGATCAAAAGTCAGGTATGCCAAGTTTCAGCTCTCTATCGCCAGCGTGTTCGGAGCTATCGCGAAAAAAAACTACGGGGGGGGCGGCACCCGCCCCCCTCGGCCGGCGAGGGTTAAGCATTTTCCACCCATAGGCCATAATTTGGCAATGAAACGCATGACCTTCGCACCAGTTGCATCCCCCCTCTCCCAGTAGGTGGCAGGTGCACCCACTCCTATTGAATCCAGCACCCCTGCCCTCAGTCTGCAGCCCCTCAGAACCCCTCAGCAGCCCCTCAGTGCACCCGCCTCACCTTGAGGCGCCTGATGAGCTCATCTGGGCCGAGGTCCTCGGTGATCTCGCGGCACCCGGGCGGGTACACGATGGCCGCCGACTCGCTCGACGGCCCCGCACGAGACATGGCCGCGTCCACCACTCCCGCTCAGCCGGTGATGGAACCTCCTGTCAGCACACACACACACACAGCCGTATCAAAACCCGGTGCCGTCCACCACTGCCGCTCTCTGGTACCTCCTCTCAGCACACACAGCTGTATCAGAAATGGCACCATCCACCACCCCCACTTCGTTGGTCATGGAACCATGGTCAGCAAACATCACATCCTATCAGGGGGCCCTGGTGAGTGGACTTCTTTGAACTGGGGATAACATAGAATTGTTCATGAGATTCCAATAAGGCTTCATAATTTCCCAACAAATTTTGCCTGACATGACCTTATCAGGCCTTCCTCATCTTGGCCTGCGCTCGGATGGGCCGTTTTTCGCGTGGAATCAGGCTGAGGAATTCCTCACGAAAACAGCCGCACGCACATCTCGAAACGGGGGGGGGGGGGAATCCCGCGGGATCCCGCGAAACAGACCTGCCCAAACGGCCATTTTCGTGAGGAATTCCTCAGCGTGGAAATTTCACGCGAAAAACGGCCAGTACGAACGCACGGCTGGTCAGACCCAATGCTCCCAGTGTATCACAGGAGGATATAGGTAGTCCCACCACAGTGATTGTTTGCTAACACAAGTTTGTTGGGTACCGAAACTAACCATCCCATGTCAGATCACTGAGCTATAAAGTGCAAAAAGAACAGGCCTTACAGCAGAGCACTTGCCAGAAATAATTAACCAAATGTCATGAATAATGAATATTGTTGAGAAGCGAGGCCTCACTTTAACCCTCGCCCCGTTGGGGGGGGGGGGCATTTTGCCCCCCCCCCTGTGGTTTTTCCTTAATAGCAAGAAAACGGCGGCGCGCAGCGCCGCCAAATTTTCAGTACCTTCCCGGGCATCAATTTGACACCTTACACCAAATTTCAAGTCTTAGGTCACCTTAGGTCAGGAGTTATTGAGGTCAAACTGAGGTCATGTTCGAGCAAAAATGAGCAAAAAACATGCAATCTTGAAATGCTCACCAAATCTACAGTTATCAAGCAATTTCAAAGTTCTTTATATGGTCTAGTAGACAAAAAGCGGCGCTACAAAACTGATATCTCGGATTTTCAAAATTTTGGGTTTTTGGCCCAAAAAATTTCAAGAAATTGATTTTTTTTTGAAAACTAAAAAAATCCAAAATTTTTCCGAATTTCGAAAAAACCGAAATATATGTGATAGTCCCTGCGCTCTTCTATATACATACCAACTTTCAGATCGATATCTCGTTTTTTGGCCAAGTTATAGCGATAAAACTGTTCAAAAATGATGACGTCAAATTTTTGAACTCAATTTTTAGCGATTCTAGACCTCGTACGGCAAAACAAAGACCACCATTGAACTCACCGTGACGAGCTGCATCGATTCGATACCCATTTTATGCAAAAATATCAACTTTGAAATTTGACCTAATTTGACCTGACCTTGACCTGACCTTGACCAAAACGTGACCTAAGCTGGCCCCAAAGGCTGCCTGACCCACATAATCGCATTTGTCATGTAAAATGGACCATAAAACATGTATCACACGACACTTTCATATTGTGACCTCCCAGTGACCTGACCTCTGTGACCTGACCTGGTATCAGTGACCTCAACTAGCAAAATATGTGTTTGAAGAACATTTCCCCATCGATGATTTTCAATGAAATGCATTTTACTCGATTGTACAACGCATTTCTTGAAATGCCTGTGAACGGTGAAAATTGGACCTTTGACCTGACCTGTGACGTCATCGGTTTGACCTAGGTCAATAAAATTGGGTCACAAGGTAGTTCCCTGATAGGACTATCCAACACCGTTTGCCGCTTGTCGCTACGTTGCGTGGTTCTCGAGATCTTAGGGGGGGGCCAAAATGCCCCCCCCCCCCCCCAACGGGGCGCGTTGCTCGGCAGAGCCCAACGGGGCGCGGGTTAATACCTGGAGTGGAGTGTGGCCCAGCTCCAGGTCCAGATACATCCCCCCCTTCCTTGGAGACCAAAAGGGCCCCATCGCGCCAGGCCAGAGGCCCCTATTCCATAGGGGCCCCTGGCTTACACAGTGGGCCCCTGCGACAGATCCTTTAATGCAGCTACAGCCATAATTTGTCCAAGGGATCCCCAATTTTAGAGCCTTAGGGCCCTTATGAAACCAGGGGGTCCAGGTGGATGGGATGGGTCCAACAGTGTGCACAAAATCAAGGTGTAAATAATATGCATATTTTATTGTAGAACATCTGGAGGGCCCTCTGTTAGTCTAAAGGAACCGCTGTTTACATAAGGGGCCCTTTTTGGACCGGGAGGGCCTTCTGTCCGTCTAAGGGGCTCCCGATTGGCCTGAGTGGCCCGTTGTTCGTCCGAGGGGTCCTCTATCAACTGGAGGGGCTTTTCTCCACCTGAGGAGGTCCTCTATCGTCTGAGGAGGTCCTCTATCTCTGTCGGTCTCAGGGGCCCTCTCCCGACCTGGGAGAGGCCCTCCGCTGTTCTGAGGGGCTGCTGCCGGTCTATGGGGCCCTCGATTGACCTGAGAGAGCCCTCTGTTCACCTGAAAGGCCCTCTCTGTTGATCTGTTGGCTTCCAACTGTTGGTCTGACCCTATGTCGGTTTGAGGGATCTCAGATTGGATCCACTATCGATCTGAGGGGCCCCTATCGGTTTGAAGAGGACCTCAAATGACCTGAACGGCCGTTAGTTTGTCTGAGAGGGCCCTCCATCGGTCTGACAGGCACTCTGCAAGTGCAAGGGGGCCTTTTGTCGGTCTGAGTGGCGCTTAGACGGCTTACATGACCCTCAGACGGCTTACGAGGCTCTCATGGGCTGTAGGGGCCTTTAACGGTCTGAAGGACCCTTATCCGACCTACGGGGCCCTCAGACCGCCCTCAGAACCGGCTGAGCGACTCTATGAAGCTATTTGTGGGCCTTGCTTGCCCCCTCAGACCTAACATTTTTTCTTTTCAATAATTTTTTTCCTATCTATTTTATGAAGCTATTTGTGGGCCTTGCTTGCCCCCTCAGATGTAATATTTTTTTTTACTTTTTTAATAATTTTTTTACCCATCTATTTGGGCCCCTTCAACAAAGTGGATGAAATCTGATGACATTTTAGATTTCGAGGGGGTTACCTTGGGCCCCTGTAAGTTTGGTTCCCTCCTTGAGGAAATCCTGGCTACGCCCCTGCCAATAAAATATGGAAAGTAACATCAAACTGTTTGTGTCAAAGCAGTGCAGTGCCGAAGCCAGGCAATGCCTTGGGAGATAGCAGGCAATAATAAGTCATGTGATTAGCTTCTTACTTGGGGATCGCATGGAAAGTAAATTGGTGTTAGGTCCTAAAGTAAATACCTAAATACCTATTATCTTACATCAGTATCCCCAAACATTCATCAAAACTCAAATTTAAATATCCATAGGTAGATAACCCACGTTTCAACAAAGTCAAAGGAAAGGATGCAGTCAATAGGTTAAGTGCATTTACTCATAGTTGATTTAAAAAAAAAAACTTCTGATGAATATTTGCAAAAAAAATGAATGTCCTTAAATACCTAATGGACACCTGTGTTGTCAGAATGGTTGACAAATTTATGCCTAAAATGCACAATAGTAGAAAAGCAGGCAATAGGCATCACACTCTTTTGGCAACCAAGGAGAGGTGCTGTAGCCTGTAGGTTAGGTTGTAGCTTTTAGGTTTTAGGTGGTATGTTTGGTATTTGTCAAGATAAGGTCCAATCTAGAATTGTGGCCCTGTGGATACAAATATGCAACAGCAGAAAGTTTAGATTGTAGGTTAGGTTAGGTTAGGTTGTGGGTTAAAGGTTTTAAGTTGTAGGTTGGTAGGTTTGTAGGATGTAGGTTGTCAAATGTCAGGTTCTAGGTTTGTAGGTTGACTTGTAGGTTTGTAGGTTTGTAGGTTGTAGGTTGGTAGGTAAGGTTAGCTCAGGTTTGATTGTATTTTTTTTTTTTTTTTTTGCAAGCCATGGCATATAAGCATCATTTTTTAATCAGGATGTCAAATAGTGTAAGCATATAAAAAACATCCTTTAAATCTTCTTGGGACTTTATCTTGACATTTAGGTACCTACTGTAGGTTTTAGGTTGTAGGTTTTAGGTAAGGTTAGGTCAAGTTTGATTAGGTTTGATTTGGTTTGATTAGAAATCATCTCAGTTGGGCAAACTAGGCTTCTGGAATAAAAAAAAATGGAGGTATCAAAATAGTGATTCTTAATGACCATATTTGAGCATAAATGTAGACCATTTCTTAGTCACCAATCATCTAAAATTAAGTCAGAATTACAAGAAGGAACATGTCTAATGTTGAACAGAAATGTTGGAACTCTCTACTGAGCACAATAATATTGCTTTAATCAAAGTAATCTGACTTCTTAAGGGTAGTGAAAGGCAATCAATAAATTGATTCACTTTGAACAGATCATCAAAATATTGATTCCATGCTCAGCTGGCTAATCATTATTTTGATTCACAGGTAATGTTAACAGATAGGCAACAATGGCTTGCAAGAATACATCATTTATCTTACTATCATTCTCATTTAGTGGTATCCTCAGCACCGCAACCGATACCTATAGCATTGTTGTACTTCACCTTCACTACATTTGATAACAATTCACAATTTTTAAATGTCAAGAATACAAAAACTGAAGCAACAGGTAAAAACCATAAATTAAGTATAAAAGCACTACAACAGTGAAAATTAGGGGTTTGAAAATTTCATTTTGCCATTTTACACATATACTATTTATCAAGTATGCAATTCATGATACAAAAATAACATAGTGTGATTATCGCAAAGCAGCTTTTATGTGATGGACAGTGGTTCTGTCTTTTGTTCATTCACAAGGTCAAAGTGACAATTTCTTAGTTTTGAGGTAAGACTTTTTGCATACCTACCACATTTACCTACCTATTTAAAGGAAAATCTCATGGTCATTGGCCTTTTTCTAGTGTGACGATACATTTAAAATCAAAAGTGTAGGTACCCAAATAAATCAAAAAATTGATTCCATTCCCATATTTGGTCATGGCTCCTCCTTGCACCAAAATTATTGATGCCTCCATATTTTGATTCCAGAAGTCTAGTTTGTCCAACTGATCTCTGGGCATAGCACCTCTCCTTGGTTGCAAAAAACAAGTGTGACGCCTGCTTTACGACTACCAAATGCACTGCATAAAAATATCAAGAAAATTATTGGCCACTCAGACAACAGACCATCTTTTTAATCACAGTTCTTCAATCACACTTCACAGTACAGACACAATCCAAACAGCCCCCCCCCCTGCCCCCCTCAGTCTCCTTCAGTAAACAACGCAGTGAACGATGCATGCGTATTCAGCACATAAAGTTCAAATCGCTTGGACACAGTAGCAATGCCATGATTCCAATGCAATACTTACCACAAATCTAAAGAAAGGTCACGGTCACGGTATAATTACAAACATCGAGATGGGGCCAGGGGGCATGCACGACGGTCACCCATCGGACGCCGCCATAATTTTACCTGACGATTCCGGCACAAGATGGCACTTTCGCTTGTAAAAATGTTGGCCCGGGAAGCAGCTTACCAGTGACTGGACGTGAAGGTCAACCCTTCAAAGTTGAGCTTGCAATGAAATGAAGATGGTAGTACTTCTAAAAATGATAAAAACGTAATTTTAATCCACAAAACCAACCCTCCTCACCGACACAACAGGAAATGGCGCGACTCCACCGGCAACCTCGCGACGCGATTGGCCGATTTGTGAAGAATAGTTGCGAAATAGGTCACGAGATGTCGCCTACTTCGGGTTCGCTCATATCCTTCGCTAGGTGTCACTACTTCCGCTGCTACGTTTCACAGCTTTCTATCTTTAACAAAAACAAAGCTTTGAAATACTGTGGGTAACGTAACTTTACCTTTAAACAATATTTTGATTGTCGATTTGTAACTACTTTTAACGAAAAAAGCTTTGAAACGCATAAGTCAAAATATTGGAGATACCAAAAAAGCAACGCTAATTTGAAACTGTATGTAACAACTAATGGTAAACGTAATGATACGAACGCTTTTCTTTTAGAAACTGATCGATTCCAGGTCAGTGTCTTCCGAAGAAAAGTGTAAAATCGATTTGTAGCCGATTTACATCCATTCAAAGGTCAAAATATTTATGATATTCTGAGTAAAATCAATTATCACCTTAGGTCTTGGTCAAACTTAGCGCGGGCCGTTTGAAAAAGCGCAATGTTCTTATTAGCGGACATAATCAAATGCTCCAGGTTCCAGTCACTTGCGATTCATCACAAGGATCCTGCTGGAATGCTAGCTCCGGTGCTCCAGAAACCACGGCAGTGGCTGTGGGCATTGTATTAGGTATTCCGGCGATCGTTGACTGACCGCCTACTGATGACGGCCGTAATTCTCGGTCCAGCTAGGGCCTAGGAATTAGGTGGGATGATTAGGACAAATGTTTCTTGGCCGGCGCGGGAAGAACAGTTGATGCACTCCTACGGTTGTTAGGTGAATCTTTCAGAAAATGCTTGAATGGATCGGACGCTCTAGATGATATTAGGTATGTCAGCTAAATTGCTGAGCTTTGACGTCATATGCCTATGTCAGGTCACATCCGGTCCAAATAAGCGTGCTGTGATCTGATCTGAGAGAGTTCCCTAGCTTCTAGCGTTAAGCGTACCCACCTAACTAGTATGTTTCTGTATTGTATTGTATTGAGATAATGAGTGTCAACCCGCGCCGTGCTGGGGGGGGGGGGGGGCGTTTTTACGCCCCTTCCCCGTTTTTGCGAATTTTTCAAAAACCGCTCGCCGCCGTCACCAGCAGTTTGTTTGCTATAACTTTGGATAGAGACGTGCTAAAGCGGTAAAAATACGTCAGATGTGTTCAGCTCGACGATACGGATCGGCTGATATGCATGACCTTTTCCGGTCAGGTCACGACCTTGACCTGAGGACAGTGAGCTGTGAGGTCAACTTTTCAAATTGATTTTAAGTTCAACGCATGGTTCATTCGACGCGTCTCGACGAGAGGAACACGATGCTGGCGAAATAAATGTGGCTCTTGAGTCAAAAATCATTACCGAAAATATGTTTCGTGTAAACGGCTATTCTTCGAGTTTTTGCCCACTGGGGGCTAACCGTTGCCCAGCCAGCCTTCCAAAGTGGGGCCCACTGTCACATGGGCTGTACTGTAGGTATCTCGTTTTTAATGAATCGCGTTGTAAATATCGTGTTTACTGCCGAAGACTCGCTAAAGTCACCAACACAGTCGAAGACAACTAACCCGCGCCGGACCTAGTAGCTTTCTACATACGCGCCGGCCGAGGGGGGGGGGGGTGGTACGACCCCTCCCCCTCACCGTTTCGCCCCTGATGGAGCTAGAGCGTCGCAGAAAAAGCGAACGTGTGCGCCGTTACGAGACACAGCGACTGGTACCCGAAATTAAGGTCAAAGGTCAACCGGTGACCTCTGAGGTCAGGTCAAGTGACCCAAGGCACGGGTTCGGTTGATAACTTCGCAAAAAACGGTCGCAGCGCCGCGATTTTGGCATCATCGTGTTTGCCTTACTCAGGCCCCAGTAAACATGACGACGTCGGCCCGACATCGGCTGGACGTCGGATATGCCCGCATGTTCCGACGTCCAGCCGACGTCGAGCCGACGTCGGGCCGAGATCGTTTGCCTAGGTTGACGAGATCGTTTGTCGTTGGACCGACGGGGCCGACGTCGGCATGTTTATTGGGACAACGCGCCAAAAATATCAACCGGCGGCGGGATTCGAGCCCCCCAGTCGCCGAAGTCGGCATGTTTACTAGGACAACACGCCAAAAGCATCAGCCGGTGATGGGATCCGAACCCAGGGTCATTCGAACGCGAGGTTAGTGCACTAACCACTACACCAAACAGCCAGCTAACGAATTTGGTTTGTTTTGTTGACTTATGCCCTTTCGGTCTGACAAGACCATTTCAGAGCCGGAAGGATCATAGGATGGAGACATTGGTCTTCTTGGCGAGCACCCTGGGTCCAGTTCATATAGAGTCCCTGGTCCCATTGCTGTTACGTGACACTTATTGGAAAGGGCGACCCCACAATGGATTCATATAGCCACTCTTACACACCTGCACCAACGTTTCCCAAAGTGTCCCTTTGATAAGTGGCACTTTGGCAAAGTGACACTTGCCGACTGGCCTTTCTATATGAACTGGGTCCGGCCCTGGTGAGTTGCCGGGGCTGAGCCTGACCAAAGGATAGGCCGAGCAGCCCCCAAGCACTCACGGCACCCGGCTACGGGCGAGCTCGGCTTACGGGCAATCCCAAATGGGATAAAGTTTCCCGTCCAGTCCGGATCAGGGGGTTGCGGCGTGGAGGAAGATTTGAGTTTCCTGAGGATATTTTGAATACAGAAGCTCTTTATGAAACATGAAACATGCATTTTATATTATTTTAACGGTCAAAACAGCGGCCGATGTCGGTCCGACGTCGCCCCGACGTCGGCTGGACCTCAGCAATTGATCTCGGTCCGACGTCGGCCCGACGTCGGCTGGACCTCGGCTGGACGTCGGAACATACGGGCATATCCGACATCCAGCCGACGTCGTGCCGAGGTTGGGCCGACGTGGGCATGCCGATGCCGAGTTGCCGACGTCGGCCGACGTCGGGCCGACGTCGGCATGTTTACTGGGGCGCGTCGAACTGTATAGTTTTGTTCGGGTGAGGTCAACTTAGTTGACCTCAGGTCAAGGTCCGAGTGGTGTTTCACCGATATGAGCACGCTGCTATTACACGTGTCAAATTGGGTTTCCATGGAGACGTCAACAAGCCCATTGCTCCAACACTCCACAAGTGTGACGTCAGCTCGCGGGATGGAATAGCAGCGTGCCGTGAAACACCGCCCAGGTCAGAGGCCCCCTGGTCACGAAATTGGTCAAAGGAGGTCATATCGCATATCATTCGATTTAGCAGGTCTTCCTCAGTCCATTGGTGACTTTCCTGACTCGCTAACTCAATTGGATTGGGAGCTATTGAGAAATGCGGTTGGCGTTGCAAGATCCGGCTTGAATCAAGGGTCAGATATGCCAAATGCCAAGCGGCCTTTCTATCGCCGGGGTTTTCGGAGCTTTCGGCGGCATCCCCCCCCCCCCCCGCTAGGCCGGCGAGGGTTAAATCGCATAGGCAGGAGCGGTTTGGTGTAATGGTACCCAATGTTCAGAGCACAAAAACTTGCCTTATTACCGAGCAGCTCGGCTGCATCCTCGTGGGCGTGAAGACTTGAGGATAATGATGCCGTTTTGTGCTACGTATGTGCTTGTTTATACTTAATTCTTGACTGCTGTAAATATTATAGGCAATGTGTATTGGCATAGGTGCGGTGTTGTTAAAGGGACCCTCCCACCTTCAAAAAAGTTAATGAATTGGCATGAAAGTGATGTCCCTTGGTTCAGAAAGAGCGAAAACGAATATCTACCAAATTTCACCGAAAAATATTCACTGGTTTTCAAGATATTAGGCTTTTACTTTTGTTTACTTTTTGGGATCTCCCCTGTTACTACCGACTTTATTTGGAAGCAATAATTCGGCAGCCTTAAAGTGCGGCAGACGTTGCGCGCAAAGCAGCGTATACCACCACGTGTTAACGATGGTTTTAGTCTAAGATTTAAAAATCGTTAGATCTCCGCTGACGTCACAAATTCTAAGGGGGCATTCCAATGCATTAGCCCCTTAGAATCCGAAAACTGCAAGTTTGAAATTCCATATCTTCGAATTAAAGCATTTTTCGATGTTGTGAGTGCCCAAACCGGTATTTGCAGGCCATGGCCACCAATTTGGCTATCTCAACTCAAAACTAATGTTAAGGTGGGAGTGTCCCTTTAACATTTCGCCGAAGAAAGCAGGCGGCGATAGCACGCGACTTGTCCACTCCACACACGGCCCGCCGCTTCTAGATATCGACGCTCGGTGTCCATGGAAAGGCAGGCGAAACCGGCAATTTCGCCTACGTTTCCAATGGCTCGCAGCGGCGTACGATGCAACAAGGTGCTGGTGGTGCTGAGCGACGAACCGCTGAGCTCCGGTGACCGGTTCCTGTCTGTGATTGCCGAGGTCCGCGGCCACAGACACCCAGACGACAGCAGGATGGCAGGTCAGCACAGACACCCAGACGACACAGCTGCACCCAGACGACAGCTGGGTGGCCGGTCCGCGGCCACAGACACCCAGACGACAGCTGGGTGGCCGGTCCGCGGCCACAGACACCCAGACGACAGCTGGGTGACCGGTCCGCGGCCACAGACACCCAGACGACAGCAGGATGGCCGGTCAGCACAGACACCCAGACGACAGCTGGGTGACCGGTCAGCACCAGGTGCGACAGGTCACGGTCAGAGGTCCGCAGCAATGCGCCGGGGCCCACACACGACCGATCCAAAACGCGAGCTTCAGAGGCACTCCGTCACAGTCCTATTTACATCATTTGCTTTGGACTCTCATCTCACTCAGCCCTTTGATAGTGCCTATACCTTTGATGGCTTCGGTCAGTCCTGGGGTACCACATGGTGGTCACCGCTCAAAGTCACCGGTGCAGCTGCCGCAGCTCGCCACACACAGAGACACACATACAGACAGACAGACAGACGGTGGCCGGGCTATGTTACCGTATATTTTGTCTCCCAGATGGAGCTGGTACGATTTGGCTGGAGGCGGCGGCGGCAGTCGGCCGCCACCGCCCAGCCAGAGATCGCCGGGGAAAGCTGATGGCCGCGCTCGGCGGCGCCACCTTCTAAAACAAGCAGTTAGCGCGCAGCTTCTGATGCAGGGCACTGGCCCCGGCCGGGGCACAGTCCAGCACTGAGTAACAGCGGAGAGTGGCGCGGGCCGGCCGCTGCCAGACACACCACGACCCGCGGCCATGCCACCACGGCGCGCCATATACTATATAAAACACCTTTATTTTAACCGGATTAAAACACATTATATACAAAGCAATGAAACATAGAAAAATAAATCGTCAGGGTTAAGAAGGACGCATTTGGCGTTCGACGGCTGCGATGGTCTCACTGGTTGGCCGGTTTGAGGACGCCGCCCGGCCGGTCCTTGGCGCCCGTCCTGGCGAACAGGGAAGGCCCGTCAGTCGCCACACATTACAACACAACTACAGACGGCCCCGTCAGTCGCCGCACATTGCAACACAACTACAGACGGCCCAGTCAGTCGCCACACATTACAACACAACTACAGACGGCCCCGTCCGTCGCCACACATTTCAACACAACAACAGGCGGCCCCGTCAGTCCCCACACATTACAACACAACCACAGACGGCCCCGTCAGTCGCCACACATTGCAACACAACTACAGACGGCCCCGTCAGTCGCCGCATATTGCAACACAACTACAGACGGCCCAGTCAGTCGCCACACATTACAACACAACTACAGACGGCCCCGTCCGTCGCCACACATTGCAACACAACTACAGACGGCCCCGTCCGTCGCCGCACATTGCAACACAACTACAGACGGCCCCGTCAGTCGCCACACATTACAACACAACTACAGACGGCCCCGTAAGTCGCCACACATTACAACACAACTACAGACGGTCCCGTCAGTCGCCACGCGTTACAACACAACTACAGATGGCCCCGTCAGTCGCCACACATCACAACACAACTACAGACAGTCCCGTCAGTCGCCACACATTTCAACACAACTACAGACGGCCCCGTCAGTCGCCACACATTACAACACAACTACAGACGGCCCCGTCAGTCGCCACACATTACAACACAACTACAGACGGCCCCGTCAGTCGCCACATATTACAACACAACTAGTAACAGACGGCCCCGTCAGTCGCCACGCATTACAACACAACTACAGACGGCCCCGTCAGGCGTCAGTCGCCACACATTACAACACAACTACAGACGGCCCCGTCAGTCGCCACGTATCTCAAAACGACTAGTGACTACGAGTCACGGTCCAGTCAGTCGCCACGTGTTACAATACAACTACAGACAATACGTCAGTCGCCATGCATCACAACAAAAATAGACGGTCCCGTCATTATCATAACACAACTACAAGTACAGACGGTCCCGTCCATCGCTGCACATTACAATGCGACTACAAACGGTCCCGTCAGTCACTACACATTACAATACGACTAGTCACGGCCCCGTCTGTCGCCACACATTACAAGTTACAACACAACTACAGACGCTATATATCACAGCCAGTTGCTAGGTCATATTTGCCGATCAACTTCACGAGGCGGGGCCATCAAAAATGTGGACTGCATTAACCCGCATAGTGCTGGGGGGGGGGGGGGCGTTTTTACGCCGCCCCCTCAAGTTTTTCGCGAATATCTCAAAAACGCCTGTTCATACATCATTTCCGCACACGTTGTTAAAATTTCAGACCCGGGTCGTTCAAGGTCAGGACACCATGTCATGTCAAGCGACCTTACCTCAGAAAAAGTTCAAAGGCTCGCTATAGCTACACCGACTGAACGATCACTTTGATTGAAACTTTCGACAATTGATAAGAGTAGAGTCGCGTCGTCAGAGTCACGTCACGTCATACATTTACACAAATGTATAAAATGCACATCTCGGATTTTTTATGTGACCTAAGCTCAGGTCAATTTTGCGGCCTTTCCATTATAAGTCAATGGGAGAACATTGAAATGCGCCTCTTTTGGACGAATGTCGTTCAAACCGCTCTCAAACATCGGTTCATACGGTACTACGTAAACATGACACACTTGAATCAGAAAATTGCACCTGTGAACCCTCTGTATGCCCCAGAGGTCATCTCAGGTCATGAACGGCCACCAGCAGTTTTTTTTTTGCTATAACTTTTGATAGAGACAAGTATAACGGTGAAAACACATCAGATGTGGTCAGCTCGACGATACGGATCGGCTGATGTCATGACCTGACCCTTTCCGGTCAGGTCATGACATTGACCTAAGGTCAAATTTTCAAGTTGACCTTTCAATATCAAATTACAGCTCACTCGATGCGCCTTGACGAGAGGAACACAATGCCGGTAAAAGTAAGCTCGTGCAAGGCTTGAGTCAAAAGTTACGGCAGAAAAACTGTTTCCGAAAAAATCGGCTATTTTTGCAGTTTTTGCCCCCTGCAGGCAAAACCATTGACGTAGGTCAAATCTTAGGAAAGCGATCAGAAAGAGCGTTAAAAGGGTTATCGAATGCGCCTTTCCGCGGCGCTGTAGCTCTATTGGTTCCCGAGTTATGCGACGGCTTCTTGGAAATTATCGACATTCGACCTGAAAATCGGCGAAATTTTGCCTTCAATGGTTTTGGTGACCTGACCAAAAAAAAGGACCAAAGTGATTTCGTCATTATTTTTAGCGCCCTTTCGAACGCCGCCTTCCGCATATCGCTACGTAGCCCATGAGCCGAGCTAGAAGGGTGATGGGTGTTCAACCCCTTCCCTCCCCCCAGCAGGGCGTGGAAATCCACGACCCCCAGCGGGGCGCGGGCCAAAGCAAAAATTATTAACATTTAGACATATTTACCCTTTGGGCTCTGGCCGCCGCTTCACTAGTCACATCGAGCTCATTTTTTTGTTTATACACTCGAAAGTGGATGCCGATGGTGATACTACCCTGTCGGTACTGAGGATGCACCCGGCATGTTTCAGGTCAAACCTAGGTCAGGCGGCAGAGCCCCGTGTGGTCACCCCGTTGATAACACGACTACAGTCTGACACAGTTGCATAGGAGTTAACGATGGAGCAGGGCGGAGACAATACATGTGTGGAGCCAGTCAGCCCACCACCCAGCTCAGGGGACGCCCGGCAGCCCCCGCGCCGGGCCACGTCGAGCGGCTGCGCCCGCCTGCTCCGCCCCTGCCCAGGTCAGCCCGCCTGCAGCCTCCGCTCCCGCTCCAGACCCACCTGCTCCTGCTCAGGCCGCCAGCTCTGCTACTGCCCAGGTCAGCCCTCTTCTCCCGACTCACCCCCTGCCCAGGCCGGGCGGCCCAGCCCTAAACTCACTAAACTCCCACTAAACTCACCTGCTCCTGCCCAGGCCGAACTTGCCCACCGAGGAGATGAGGCCGTGCCGGCCGGCGGCCTTATCCGCCCCGACGGCTGGCGGCGCCGTCCGACCCCAGGCTGCCGGCACACACAGGTCAGGTCAGGTCAGGTCAGGTCGGAGGGGACCCGGCAGTCCAGGGCGTCTGGGTGAGACAGCGGGAGATGACCAACAAATCAACGAGAAGAAAAAAAAAACATGTCGAAAGCCCTGCGACTATGTACAGACAATTTTCACTCCATTCCATCTTATGCCGGGTTCACACCGGATTCCGGGCCGGCAAAATTCCGTCTGCCAACCCAGAAAACCGGTGTGAACCCGGCTTTAGATCTTTCGTTTGGGAGATCTTTTCCGTCCCCACATGGCACCCCAGACCCCAGCCGCTGCCACACACAGACACAGCACGCGGTCGGCACTCGGAGTCGGCACTGACCAGGCCTGTCGGGCTGCTGGTTCTCGTCTCGGCCGCCAGAGGCGCTGGTGTGCAGGCGGGACGTGCTGCGCGCCTTTTGCGCCGAGAGCGACAGGCGGCTGGGGTTGGGCGCCGTGGCCGCCAGCCGCGCTGACGCCTCGAAGCCGCGCCGGGCGGCCGAGCCGGGAGCGCCGGCTGTCGAGCGCGAGCCGCCGCCGACGCGGCCCGTCTGCGAGAGGTGCGCGGCCGACGCCGAGCGGCTCAGACCTGCCGAGGGGAGGCCGGGCACCGGCGTTACACACCAAGTGAACAAGCACCGACACCAACGAGTTATCCAACGCATTTCTCAGATAGTTATTAAGGGCAAACACCGAGCAGACCAATCCTTACTGGCTTTACTGGTCCCTTAGAACGGACTGCCCAACTCGCTTGTCCTGTGGACGCCGAGATCAGTTCAACTCACCGGTCCTCTGGACGCCGAGGTGGGTGCTGGAGGCGGAGCCTCTCAGGGCACCTTTGCCAGCCACAGCTCGCTGGCCGCTGCCACCAGCAGGCGCACCACCACCGCCGTCCGCCGACGCCGCCAGCGGCACACGAAACGGCGCCGCCTCCATCGTGAACGTCGAGTCCATGTTGGGCGGCGGCGCGGCGGACGGCCGCGTCTTCAGCGGCGTCCGGGTGCGGCGCAGGATCTCCGGGGTGGGCGGCAGGTCGGGCGGCAGCGGCACGTACAGCGCCCGGTCGGCCGGCTCCGGCCGGATGGGGCTGCAGCTGTCAAACGCCGGCAGACCGCCCCCGCCCGGCGCAGCCGGTGACAGGGTGCGCGTGGCGTTCAGGTCCACGGCCGGCGGCGAGCGGCGTCGTCCGGCCGCCGGCGGAGGGCCGACCGCGGGCGGCGAGCGGCGTCGTCCGGCCGCCGGCGGGGGGCCGACCGCGGGCGGCGAGCGGCGTCGTCCGGCCGCCGGCGGGGGGCCGACCGCGGGCGGCGAGCGGCGACGTCCGGCCGCCGGCGCCGCCACCGTCACCGTCGTGTTCAGGTCGGGCGAGGCCGACTTGCGGCCCTGCGTCGTCGACACGGTGACTGTGGCGTTCAGGTCGGGCGACGGCGCCTTCCGCGAGGCCGGCGGCGCCGGGCCGGCGACGGTGGCGCCCAGGTCCACGTTCGGTGACGCCAGCCTGCTCTCGGAGGGCGACATGGTGATGGTGGTGTTCAGATTGGGTGAGACGGAGTGGCGCGCGCCCGCCTCCGGTCGTCTCGGCTCGGTGGCCGGTGTGCCGCCGGCCGCGGCGGGACTGCCGGGGGGCGCCGGCGGACTGTCAGCGCGCCCGGCCGACACCCGGGTACCGTCCCCGGCGGGACTGTGACGCCGGCCGGCCGGCGGACTGTCAGCGCGCCCGGCCGGCACCCGGGGACCGTCCCCGGCGGGACTGTGGCGCCGGCCGGCCGGCAGCGTGTCCGGCCGCTCCGACTCGCCGCCGCTCACCTGCTGCGTGGCCGGCTCCGCAGTCTCTGTCTGCGGCGTGATCGACACCGCGGCGTCTGTCCGCGGTGTGACTGGCCCTGCAGTCTCTGCCTGCAGTGTCGCCGGTCTTGCAGTCTCTGTCTGTGGTGTCGCCGGTCTTGCAGTCTCTGTCTGCGGTGTGGCCGGCTCTAAAGTCTCTGTCTGCGGTGTGACCGACCCTGCAGTGCCTGTTTGCGGTGTGATCGACACGGTAGCGTCCGTCCGCGGTGCGGCCGGCTCTGCGGCAGGAGACTGGGCCCGGTGCGGGCCCGGCTCGCGCGGCGAGGGCACTGTGACGGCCTCCTCAGCCAGGTCCCTGTCCGCCTGCACCGGGCCCGGGCTGGTCTCTGTCTCGGCCACTGCGTCCGCCTCCGGTGGGCCGCCCGGCCGCGGCGTCTCCGGGCCGGGCTCCGCGTCGAAGAACACGGGGCTGCCGGGCCGGTGGTGCCGCGGCCGGCACGGCGTCTCGTCGGGCGCGCCGCCGCCGCCAGCGATCAGCACCTCGTCGTCGGCGCCGCCGCCCAGCGTCGTGTCGCTGGGCGGCAGCACGGACGACAGACTGGGCGGCGTGCCGTCCGGGCAGGGCGGCGGCGGCGGCGGCGGCGCCGGCGTCCGGTCCACCGGCGCCGCCCGCGGCACCGAGCGGCCGGCGGCCGGCTGCGCGGGGGCGGGCGCGGGCGCGCTGAGCAGCAGGCCGCCGGTGGCCTGCCGCAGCGGCTCGGCCGGCCGGTAGGTGGTGTCTGCCAGTCGCAGCAGCGCCGTCACGTCGTAGCTGGGCTGGCCCGGACTGTCGGCGGCCGGCTGCTGCTGGTCCGCCCAGCACACTTCCTTCTGGCCCTCCACCAGGCCCACCACCTCCTGAGCAAACACGGCGAGACGATCAACCGTCAGAACATAGAACTGACACGACACAGCCCGACCTTCGGCCAGGCCACGGGAGCACGGAGCAACGACCGACAGTCGGAGCAGTCGGGTAGGACGTGTCGCAGAAAAAGAGAACAGGGCAAGACTGTCGGGACACCACAGAAAAGGCAGGCCAGACTGATGGGTACCTCGAACAAAATGCGTACATAGAACATGGCAACGCAGTGTGCGATTGGAAATAAACGCATCCATGAGCAGTTTACTATTCAACTATCATTTGCAGCAGCTCAGCCCTCAGCAAAGAAGTGAGTAATGACAAACCAGCGGGCTCTGGGCATGTGCTCTGCACCTTACCGCTGTTATACCATACGTCCACCGTCTACCCACCCGGCAGTCCGTCGAGTGGCGGCGCGCGCCTCGATGAGTGGGCATCTAGTCATGCGCCGAGTACAAGCATGCACCAGACGGCCACCCACCGCGGCGCGCGCCGCAGTCAGGCCGGCCGCTCGGGCACGCCACGGGCAGCGCTGAGCAGCACAGCGGGACGCAGGCCGGCGCGCTGGGCCAACGAGCGCCAGCGCAAATCCCATCCGATGACACCAGGCCCACTGCTGGAGCCCCAATTACAACCGACCCGCATGAGAAATTCACTGCCATCCTGAAATCACCCCACAATGACAGACGCCTGGCTAGCCGCTACAACAGTTGGTGCGACTACTGACACGTGGGGTCGCAGGTATCCTCCTCCCGCCAGCTGTGGCTGCCGAGTCGGCCGTTCAGTGTTCTGACCTTGTACTGGGCCTCCAGCTCGGGCGTCACGAACTTCATGTAGGTGAGCACGCGGTGCTGTTCGCGGACGGCGCCGATCAGCTGGGCCAGCAGATGGTCCGAGCTGGCCAGCTCGAGCTGCAGCAGACGCGAGAACGTCTCCAGGTGGGCGGCGTGCACGCGGCACTCGTCCAGCTGGCGCTGCGGGCGGACACCGGACAGGGCCGTCAGACACCGGACAGGGCCGTCAGACACCGGACAGGGCCGTCAGACACCACCGGACAGGGCCGTCAGACACCGGCGGAGAGACACCACCGGACAGAGCCGTCAGACACTGCTACTAGCCACTGAGAGTGAGGAACGACACTCGTCCAGCTGGCGCTGCGGGCGGACACCGGACAGGGCCGTCAGACACCGGACAGAGCCGTCAGACACCGGACAGGGCCGTCAGACACCGGCGGACAGACACCGGCGGACAGGGCCGTCAGACACTGCTACTAGCCACTGAGAGTGAGGAACGACACTCGTCCAGCTGGCGCTGCGGGCGGACACCGGACAGGGCCGTCAGACATCGGACAGGGCCGTCAGACACCGGACAGGGCCGTCAGACACCGGCGGACAGACACCACCGGACAGGGCCGTCAGACACTGGACAGGGCCGTCAGACACCGGCGGAAAGACACCAGCGGACAGGCCGCCGTCAGACACCGGCGGGCAGACACCAGCGGACAGGCCGCCGTCAGACACCGGACAGGGCCGTCAGACACCACCGGACAGGCCGCCGTCAGACACTGCTACTAGCCACTGAGAGTGAGGAACGACACTCGTCCAGCTGGCGCTGCGGGCGGACACCGGACAGGGCCGTCAGACACCGGACAGAGCCGTCAGACACCGGACAGGGCCGTCAGACACTGCTACTAGCCACTGAGAGTGAGGAACGACACTCGTCCAGCTGGCGCTGCGGGCGGACACCGGACAGGGCCGTCAGACACCGGACAGAGCCGTCAGACACCGGACAGGGCCGTCAGACACCGGACAGGGCCGTCAGACACCGGCGGACAGACACCACCGGACAGGGCCGTCAGACACCGGCGGACAGGATACCACCGGACAGGGCCGTCAGACACCACCGGGCAGACACCACCGGACAGAGCCGTCAGACACCGGACAGGGCCGTCAGACACCGGACAGGGCCGTCAGACACCGGCGGACAGACACCACCGGACAGGCCGCCGGCAGACACTGCTACTAGCCACTGAGAGTGAGGAACGACACTCGTCCAGCTGGCGCTGCGGGCGGACACCGGACAGGGCCGTCAGACACCGGACAGAGCCGTCAGACACCGGACAGGGCCGTCAGACACTGCTACTAGCCACTGAGAGTGAGGAACGACACTCGTCCAGCTGGCGCTGCGGGCGGACACCGGACAGGGCCGTCAGACACCGGACAGGGCCGTCAGACACCGGCGGACAGACACCACCGGACAGGCCGCCGGCAGACACTGCTACAGCCACTGAGAGTGAGGAACGACACTCGTCCAGCTGGCGCTGCGGGCGGACACCGGACAGGGCCGTCAGACACCGGACAGGGCCGTCAGACACCGGCGGACAGACACCACCGGACAGGGTCGTCAGACACCGGACAGGGCCGTCAGACACCACCGGACAGACACCACCGGACAGGGCCGTCAGACACCGGCGGACAGGATACCACCGGACAGGGCCGTCAGACACCACCGGGCAGACACCACCGGACAGAGCCGTCAGACACCGGACAGGGCCGTCAGACACCGGACAGGGCCGTCAGACACCGGCGGACAGACACCACCGGACAGGCAGCCGTCAGACACTGCTACTAGCCACTGAGAGTGAGGAACGACACTCGTCCAGCTGGCGCTGCGGGCGGACACCGGACAGGGCCGTCAGACACCGGCGGACAGACACCACCGGACAGGCCGCCGTCAGACACTGCTACTAGCCACTGAGAGTGAGGAACGACACGCGTCCAGCTGGCGCTGTGGACGGACAACGGACAGGGACTATAAATCGCTGTGAACGATACAAAACGAAAGCCGATCATCTGGTCGGATAAGCCGCATCCACATAGCCGACTGAGATCGGTGACCACTGCTCCTCCAGGCACGGCCAAAGACCGGTGGGCCTGACTGCAGCCCCGTACTGAGGCCGGTAAGGGTGTCACGCCACTGCTCCGACCCGCCGGGTATCCCCCGAGGGCAGTCGCGTGTCCCGGCCGGCCGGCGGCGGCAGCGCTCACCTCCTTCTCCAGCTGGTCGACCAGCTGGTCGGTAGCGGGGCCGGCCGGCGCGCGGCCCGCCTCGGCCTCTGCCGTCTGCACGGCGGCGGCCAGCTCGCCGCGCGCCTGCTCCAGACGGCTGTGGGCCAGGCTGAGCCGGCCCGCCAGCCGGTCCTGCTGTCGGTCGGGCCGCGCGCCGCCGGCCGGACGCAGCAGCGCCGCGCGCTGCACGCACAGCCGGCGCCGGTGCAGCCGCAGCCGCAGCTGCTGCGCCTCCGCCTCCAGCTGCAGCTGGCGCGTCACCAGCGCGCGCCGCGCCGCCTCGGCCGCGCGCAGCGGCGCCGCGTCGAAGGGCGGCTCGGCCGGCGGCGGCGCCGTCTGGTCGGCGGCCGGCCGCTCTGCCAGCTGGGCGCGCAGCTCGGTCACCTCCTGGCGCAGCTCGTCCACCACCTTGGCGTACTGGGCCACGTGCATGTCCACCGACACCACGTTCCGCTGCAGCTGTGGACGGAACGGGGAGAGAACGGTCAGCGGCACACCCAGCAGGGGACTGGGCAGGGAACACTGGATGGGGGGGGGGGGCGGTCAGCGGCACACCCATCAGGGGACTGGGGAGGGAACACTGGATGGGGCGGTCAGCGGCACACCCACAGGGGACTGGGCAGGGAACACTGGATGGGGGCGGTCAGCGGTACACCCAGCAGGGGACTGGGCAGCAAACACTGGATGGGGGCGGTCAGCGGTACACCCAGCAGGGGACTGGGCAGGGAACACTGGATGTGGGCGGTCAGCGGCACACCCAGCAGGGGACTGGGCAGGAAACACTGGATGGGGGCGGTCAGCGGTACACCCAGCAGGGGACTGGGCAGGAAACACTGGATGGGGGCGGTCAGCGGTACACCCAGCAGGGGACTGGGCAGGAAACACTGGATGGGGGCGGTCAGCGGTACACCCATCAGGGAAAGGAAATGGGCAGTTGGTCACGAAGAATCACCATTGTGCAAAACTATTCGGTGGTACTCCCTCTACAACTCGACATTGAGCGAATGGTTCAACATTGTGCAAAGCAACTCGTCAATGGTCGAAACTATTCGTCATGTGCCGAGCTGGCTCGCTCAATGCCGAAGTCTGGCGAAGTGTCAAACTGTTTTGCAGATCGCTCATTTCAGTGTTCAATCTGTTTTGCTGAAGACTGAAATGAAAGACACAACGCCGGAATAGTTGTATTCAATGCCGATTGTCGAAACGGGTCCTCAAACAGTTATGGCGAAGCGAATGGTTGAATTCAAATGCAAAAAGTTGCATTAAGTATCTAGTTTGAGCCTACATTTTCCGTCGTATAGGAGAGTTCACTCGCGATTCGCGCCCGCTGGTCGCAGCACAGCCCGTCCCCCACACTGCTCCGTACGTACTCCGCCTCCGGCCGGTCCGGCGCACTCACCCTGGTCTTGATGGCCTTGGCGCGGTCGGCGTACTTGAGCGTGTTGTGCGTGTCCTCGAAGCTGGCCGCCGACGGCGTCACGTTGGCGATCATCACCGTCTTGCAGTTGCCGCCGATCGAGTCCTTCAACAGCCGGGTCAGCTTGGAGTCGCGGTACGGCACGAACTTCTTGCCGTCGGCCAGCGCGTTGATGCAGCTGCCTGTCAGGGGGGGGGGGGGGAGCGGTCAGTGGGCCCTCGGCACGCACACGAGCGGGGCGGGCAGACTGACGTCTGGGCGACCGGCTTCAGCCATCACCGGACCGGCGGGACGATCACAGGCCAGGCACGTACTGCAGATGCCGCCACCGAAACCACTTTTCCGCACCCGTGTATCTGTTTCAAGGCCTTGTCATGGGTAATTTTCATTCGGAACTATCACAATCTGCACGATCTACCAGTCAGTTGGCCGGCCGGTAGTCAGTTATACTCAGCTGGGCGGCCGGCCGCAGTGCCGAACGGCCCGTCAGCAGCTCCCACCAGGCGCCCGCCGGTCAGCGGTCAGCGGCGGCACCTACCGCAGGGGTCAGCACGTACCGAGCGCCAGCAGCGAGCGGTTGATGTTGGCGCCCTCGCGGAACCGGGCGCCCTTGTGTCCGGTGGCCGAGCCGCGCTCGGATCCGGCCAGGTCGATCAGAGACAGCTTGGAGACGCGCACGTCCTGCGAGAGGCCGGCCGTGCCGTCTGACTGGCGTAGCGTCACCTGCCGAACGGACGGGACGGACGGGTCAGACAGCGTCACCTGCCGACAGGACGGGACGGGAGGGGTCAGACAGCGTCACCTGCCGACGGGACGGACGGGAGGGGTCAGACAGCGTCACCTGCCGACGGGACGGACGGGAGGGGTCAGACAGCGTCACCTGCCGACGGGACGGGAGGGTCAGAGACGGCGTCACTGGGGGACGGGAGGGGTCAGACAGCGTCACCTGCCGACGGGACGGAAGGGGTCAGAGGCGGCGTCACTGGGGGATGGGAGGGTCAGGAGCAGCGTCACCGGGGGACGGGAGGCATTAGAGACAGCGTCACCGGGGGCCAGAGTCCCGAGACAGCGTCGTTTGCCCACTCTCCAGTTTCCCACAGTACCCTGTTGGAGTCCTGACCGACCTGGAAGACGGCGTGCGATCGCGAGCTCTCGGCGTTCATGTCGGTGGGGTGCTGGGTGCGCCTCTGGTTGCCGGCTGCCAGGATGGCCATCAGGTGCTCGGGCCCGTCGGGCGTCTGCTGCGACAGGCCGGCGATGACGACGGCGCGCTGTCCGTCCTCGCGCACGTCCAGCGGCCCGCTCGGCTGCAGCAGGTCCGTCACCGTCTCGTTGTACACCTGGGAGGTCGGGGAGGGGGAAAGAGGTCAGCGGCCACACCGGTACCCGGCGGGTATCACAGCGGTGGACGGAGGTGGTTGTCAGCCCAACACAGGGACTAACCCAGCGGTTGACGACAAACGACAGCCCAAAAATGATACAAGCGACAGATCCAAATGAGTGGTACAACCGATAATTTACGATCTTACCATTCAAGCAGTTCACTAGACGAATGACTTAGTTAAGCGCAGCGCGGCGGAAGATCCGCCATGACCGTGCCCTCTGTCCGGCTCACTCAGCGGCCAGCCGGCGGCGCCCGCAGTGGACGTACCTCCACGTAAGAGACGGCCACCTGACAGCGCGTGTCGGCCATGGCCGCGATCCGCGAGTACAGCTCCATCACCGTCAGGAAGATGATGCCCGGCTCCGAGCTGGTGCCCAGCATCGTGTGCGTCTTCCCGGCGCCCGTCGAGCCGTAGGCGAACACTGCGCGGCGCACAGCGCACGGTCACCCCACCAACAATGGGAGGCATGTGCGCAGGGAAGAGTGACACGAGTACTGATGTACTTTCCGAGTCTGATGATAGGGTGCAATTCATAACACACCTTTTGAGCTTGATGTTACTGAATTAAGGGCGGGATCGATATATAAAAGCAACATTAAAATGACCCAACATGTTTGGCTGATCTACGGTATGCAGTATCTGTAGTAGCTAAATAGTAAGTAATAGAATAGGTTATACTGAGTAGCATTACACAGCATCACAAAGGGCGGATCCTATCGGTGTGAACTGCAGTGGCAGAGTCTCCGTTCCCCGTGTCACGGGCAGCTCAGCTCACCGGAGCAGTTGAAGCCGTCGATGACCGTGTCGATGACGTCTTTGGTGGTGGCCTCGAACAGCTGCTGGTTGCTGTGGTGCGGGTGGAACACGCGGTCGAACATGTACTGCATGTCCTTGCTGGCACGCTTGTTGAGGTCGCGCTGCCGCTGGCGCACGCCCTGGAAGTAGAAGTCCTCGTCCTGCTGGCGCGGGTCGAAGATGAGCATGTGGTCGTCCAGTGGACGCACCACCAGCCTGGCGGCGGATGGACGGGAGGCTCAGAGCAGCTGGGCACAGAGGGTCAGCCGCTGAACAAGAGAGACTCACGGGAAAGGGAGCTCCACATCGTCATAAGCACAGGTACCCACGGTCAATAAACAAAACAGCAATCATCAACCAGCAGGGCAGGCCAGGAGGAGTAGGGGTAGGGTAGGGTAGGGTAGGGTAGGGTAGGGTAGGGTAGGGTAGGGTAGAGTAGGGTTGAATTGAGTAACATCCTAACTTACAAAGGGCTCGAACAACTCGCATGCATCACCATCATACTTTACAGTTCAATTAAAAGCAGTTACCCAGTTCTACACAAATAATACCAATAAAAATGCAAGTTTCTACACCCAAACTAATGCATCCGTTAATCATACATATCAAAACATACAGTTATCGCGTAAACCTGTACCTCTAGCACTGGTAAAGCAAGTATGTCGCAAAGGATAACTGACGAACTAGAGAAGTCTAAGACTTATAGATAAGATACGATAAATCATTGAGACCAATCAATAAGTCAGGACAATTGCAGTATAATAATTAACGAGAGCACTTAAAGGGACCCTCCCACCTTAACATTAGATTTGAGTTGAGATAGCCAAAATGGGGTCCCTGGCTCACAATTACCGGTTTCGGCACTCACAACATCGAGAAATGCCTTAAATCAGAAATATTGAATTTCAAAATTGCAGCATTTTGATTCAGAGGGGCTAATGCTTAGGAATACCCCTCTGAATGTGTGACGTCAGCGCAGATATCTAACGATTTTTACATGTTTGACTAAAACGTTTTGTAGCACGCGGAGGTATATGCTATTTGCGCGCAACATCTGCCGCAAACGCCGCACTTCTAAAATAAAGTCGCTAGAAACAGCGGAGATCCCAAAAAAGTAAACAAAAGTAAAAGTCTAATATCTTGAAAACCGGTGAATATTTTTCGATGAAATTTGGTAGATATTCGTTTTCGCTCTTTCTGAACCGAGCGACATCACTTTCATGCCAATTCATTAACTTTTTTGAAGGTGGGAGGGTCCCTTTAATTTTATTTTTAGCCAGTTACTGACCCCATCCCCCTCCGTTCATCCCCCGGGCAGCGTGTGGCAGCCGCGCCGTCCGTCCGCACGCGAGCCACTCACCGGTAGCCGCCCTGGCTCTCTCGCTCGTTCTCGGGCCGCACGCGCACCACCACGCGCACATTGGAGGCCTGCGCGGCGGCGGTGCCGGCGGCGGCGGCGCGGCCGGCCGCCGGCGCGCGCCGGCCGGCCCGCACAGTGACGGCCGGTGGCGGCGCCTTCAGGCCGCTCCTGCGCCGCTGCGGCCTCTCCGCCGCCGATGCGCGCTTCGTTTTGATGATGGTCATGGCAGAGTGATTGCGGCGCTCACGTTAGGCCGCCGTGGGATAAGGAGATGACAGTCGGCCACCTGATCCTGGAATGACAAAATTACAGGCTATGAGCATGACCAAGAGCAAGAGCACAGAGCACAGGTATTGCTCAGAACAATTGACAAATTAGAAGGCATCGCTAATGAGCACAACAGTTTCAAACTTAATGAAACAGCATTTCCTGGTAAAGGACTGAACATTCATTCCATGTCCTCAATTGAACAGTTTCACACTGACAACAGCAAACAGTGTGTTAAGGAGTTACTAGAGTGAAGTATTCGCCACAATGTGCAAATTCGCCACAATGTGCAACAGCAGGAACAGGACAATCCATCGGCACTAATAGAATGAGAGCCAAAAATGACACCACTGAATGAATGAAAGCCAGTGATGGATTAATCAATGCTAAGCAAACCGTGGCTCCTTTGATATTGAGCTCCTATGGCATCTAGAAACACCAAATTTGGTAGGTAGGTGGGCCCCCTGGAGTTCTCGCCCCTGTGCAACTTTGGTTGCTCTAGGTCAATATTTAGGGGGGTTTTGGGGGATCTAATTAAGATAGAGCAAAAAGAAAAGCACCAGTGAACTCAGCACGTCAAGGCGTGTCGAATGATATACTTTATTGCTTTCTAAAGTGCACTTAAAGTTTTAATTATTAAGTAAAATTGAATTAACTAATTAAGTTCATGTTAGCCAAATTGCATCATACCGCAATCATTCGATTCGGCTGATCACCAGGAACACAATGACACCATTTTTCAAGCTCTAGCGTCATCATGTGCCAAGTTATTCGAAAAACGTCATTTGACCTCAGTTGACCTTATTTGACCTGACCCATGGAAAAGTACAGTGTGTCTAAAAAGAATGTACCGTCGCCACTACGTGGCGCTGGTGTCGCGAGCCGGTAGTTGGCTGAATCCGCACCAGACCACACATTCCCAAGCGCTAGGTGACTAACTGACAGCCGCGCATATCCGTCATTACATGGTGGTCATTATTAACAAAAATAATTACAAGAAGTAAACAACCGCATCTGGATGAAATGACCTCCTCTTTCAACTTGACATATTTTTCATCAAAATTATGTTTTCGATCAATATTGATCATTGTCTGATGCTGCAAATTGAAGTTCCAACTTCAGGCCAAAAAAGGGTATACGTCAACGTTGGACTACCATACAAACAACGGCCAGATAAAAGCTGGTTTATTCTTCTTGTACCAGGTGGCAGTACTTCTTTTCCAAAATCAGTGCTTGTATTTCCAAAATCGTGATTTCCTCGCTGAGGAGTGATATCAGCTTCATCGTTGCCAAGAATAGCTGCAATAGTGTTGGTTGCCAAAAATGGCATGTGCTAAAAATGACAACGATTGTCAAAACCTCCCCCGACTGATCTCAATACATAAGGTACCTACCTAAGTTACCTATTTAAAGTGTACCTACCCAGCACAAGCTGAAGCAGGTGCAAGCAAAAAAGTGGAAGAGCATTATATTCTCACCTGGTATTCTCACCTGGTAGGGTTCACCAAGCCTGACAGCCTTAAGGATAGTCAAGGCAAGGGAACCCAGGATCAAAGGATGCGCCAGTTGAGATAAGAATTCGCGAGTATAGAGGGGTTACATAGCAACTGGAGTTATAGCATCCACATAAATAGCTCATACGAAAAAATACATGTGAATCAAGAATATTTGACACGAAGTTGCTCATCATCAACTACTCCGCAGGCTGGTACAGTTGGTCACGAATCGCATCGGCCAAGGCCCTCTTAAAGCTAGTTAAGTCAGGTGCGGTCACAACGTTTTCTGGGAGGCCGTTCCAGATGTGTATACATCGGATGGAGAAAGAGCGACGACGAACATCTAGTGTAACATGTGGCACGCGTATCTTGTAACAATGGCCTCGAGTGCAGCCGTGTAATTGACGAGAGAAAAATAATAATAAATAATAAATAATAGTACTCATACTCCAGGAAAGCAAAAGGGACCATGCAAGGTCTAATTTGAATTTAAATTGAAGCTAGAATGATAGCATTGGCATTGGTATGATGGCTACAGACTAGTGCATGCTTGTTGTTGTGCTACGAATCTGTAAAAATAAGTGGAAAAGTGAAAAAGCACTCTGCATATCATCAAACGAATTGAAGTCTTACCTTCTCATGTAGATATATCACATCAAACCCCCATTATCAGGGAAATCCAGTCTAACCTCAATAAATTTCGAAAAAACTCGCAAGCGCAACCATATCAACGACGATCACCGCTCTCGCCGCCGCGCAGACTTTTAAAACCAGCGTGCGTCGCGATTGGCTGTTTTTGAAACTCGACGCCAAACATCCTGTGTCGTGATTGGTTACTATTAGGTATCAGGAACTCTGAAAATATAATTTCGAAACCACTCTTTACATAGAAAGATTAAGTGAAAAATACTACCAAGAGTCATTATGAAATATATTTTAATAAAAAAAACAATGCATAAAATAACCTAGCAGATAAATGAAAATAAACATTTAAAAATCACAGCTATGTCGCCATGGTAGAGCAGCTAGTTTTCAATTCCATGATGCTCACTTATCCATTCTTTACATGGCCTCAGGGGCGGATCCAAGGGGGGGGGGGTCACATGGGTCATGGCCCCCCCCCCTTGAGGCCCGGGGGCCCAAAGACCTGCCAGGGGCACCACCGGCCTATCAGGTGTATCACAGTCCTGACAGGGGCACCACAGGACCGCCAGGGGCACCACAGGCCTAGCAGGGACACCACGGGCCTGGTGCCCCTGGGCCCTGACAGGACTGTAACGCCCCTGACAAGCCTGAAGTGTCCCCGGCAGGCACGTGGTGCCCCTGACAGGCCTGAGGCGCCCCTGCAAGGCCGGTGGTGCCCCTGGCAGGCCTGTGGTGTCCATGGCAGGCCTGTGGTGCCCTTGCTAGGCCTCTGGTGCCCCTGACAGGCTTGTAATGCCCCTGGAAGGACTGTGGTGCCCCTGGGCCCTGACAAGCCTGAGGTGCCCCTGACAGGCCAGTGGTGCCCTTGCTAGGCCTGTGGTGCCCCTGGCAGGCCTCTGGTGCCCCTGACAGGCTTGCGGTGCCCTTGGAAGGACTGTGGTGTCCCTGGGCCCTGACAAGCCTGAGGTGCCCCTGACAGGCCCGTGGTGCCCTTGTTAGGCCTGTGGTGCCCCTGACAGGCCTCTGGTGCCCTTGCTAGGCCGCTGATGCCCCTGGCAGGCCTCTGGTGCCCTTGCTAGGCCGCTGGTACCCCTGCGCCCGGAGAGGACTGGTGCCCCTGAAAAGTCTGAAGTGCACCTCGGCAGGCCCGTGGTGCCCCTGACAGGCCCAAGGTGCCCCTGCGAGGCCGGTGGTGCCCCTGGCAGACCTCTGGTGCCCCTGGTAGGTCTGTGGTGCCCCTGGCAGGTCTGTGGCGCCCCTGGCAGACCTGTGATGACTGGTGCCCCTGTTAGGTCGCTTGTGCCCCTCACAGACCTGTGGTGCCCCTGGGCCTTGACAAGCCTGAGATGCCTGGCTATGACAGGCTCGTGGTGCCCCTGATAGACCAGTGGTGCCCTTGCTAGGCCTGTAGTGCCCCTGGCAGGCCTCTGGTGCCCCTGCTACCCCTGCGTCCGGAGAGGACTATGGTGCCCCTGAAAAGCCTGAAGTGCCTCTCGACAGGCCCGTGGTGCCCCTGGGCCCTGACAGGCCCAAGTTACCCCTGCGAGGTCGGTGGTGCTCCTGGCAGGCCTCTGGTGCCCCTGGCAGGTCTGTGGTGCCCCTGGCAGGCCTGTGTTGACTGGTGCCCCTGCTAGGCCGCTGGTGCCCCTCACAGGCCTGCGGTGCCCCTGGAAGGACTGTGGTGCCCCTGCCCCTAGGGGTGCTCATGGGCCCAACAGGCCCGTTGTGCCCCTGACAGGCCTGTCGTCTTGCTAGACCTGTGGTGCCCCTGATTCCTGGCAGGCCTGTGGTGCCCCTGGCGGGCCTGTGGCGCCCCTACAAGGCCGTAGGTGCCCCTGACAGGTTTGTGGTGTCCCTGGAAGGACTTTGGTGCCCCTGACAAGCCTGAAGTGTCGAGGACAGACGCTTTAGACGCCAGGGTCAAGTTCGTCGGACTGACAACGATTTGCTTACCTGATAACGTTCCTGGTAAGTACTCACTACTCAGCGTCCACAACATATATACACATAGCACATTCATATACACATATCACATATAGCACCTACTTGCTTACAATTGGTAAATGTGGTTGTGGCTAAGAGTTAAGATACTGACTAAAAAAAAGAAAAAAAGAAAAAAAAACTGAAAATGGGGGCACCACCAAAATGAAGTGGACGAAATCCGTTGAGTTTTTAATTTTGGGTATAGGTAGGGGCACCACTTCGATTCATGACCCTCCCCTTGGAGTTTTCCTGGATCCGCCCCTGCATGGCCTTGATCAAGATTGCCTTGATGATCCATGCTCCAGTCCAAAGATATCGCTATTTTTCTCGCCTAGTCAAGTGACCCTTAGGAAATACGTATCTTAGACGATATAAATACAATCTGTGATTACAGGCGCGTAACCACGAGTCTGCAGTTATACTGGGGACTACGTGGAGGGCCGCGAAGATCAAATACCTGCCGGTAAAATCAACGTCATACAAGTTTCGAGTCAAAAGTTATGAAACAGAAACCTTTTCCGCAAAAACGCCAACCTGGAAGCTAAACCGTTGACCTTAGGTCAAATCTGAGAGGAGAGAGCATTAGGTACTCAGAAAGACATTTGAAAGAGAGCTATCGAATGCGCTTTCCCGCAGCACTGCAGCTTTATTTGTTCCTGACTTATGCGCCGATTTGTGAAAAGTTGTCGAAATTGGGAACAAAAGTTCAT